GCATCATTTCTCTGTAGCTGCGACACTGCAAAGAGCCTGTATGTTGTGGCTTTCTTTGCGATGTAGAATTGGTGAGTCATTCTGCTATTCAATTCGAACCACTGTCCGCCCATCCCCATTAGACGCGGGCACCGACACGTGCATTGAAGCGAAATACCACCCACGCGATGTCTAAGTGGCTCGTGATTGGATCTGGTGGTCGGCACCTTTGCCTTTAGTCCATCGTAGGGTGAGACGAAGTATAGTATTGCATATCGGGGTGTTTACTCTACAAGGACGATCGACATGGGATGAGACAGTTGGATCTAAGCTATTATGACCCCCGTTTTCTTTAACCCGCACCCTCCGCAAGGGCGTCCCGTCAGGCTTTTTCGCTAACTTGGGACAATGCAACCTATAAGATAAGGGCTACGCCCTTCCCCCGCTTGACGTCATGACTAGTGGATCCACGCAGCGCTGACTAGCCTGCGTCTGCTTCGCCACCAGTGCGTCCCGCAGCGTCGCACAACGAGCGCAAAGCTAGCCAATATACTATCTAGAAGACAAGGCTTGCGCACGACGTCATCGTTAGTGGATCCTCAACACTTCGGGCGGGTTCGGGACCCACCGACGATGACGTCATTGTGCAGGCCTCGACTTTTCCCGCCTCTTTCCACTTTAGCAGAGCGAGCGCGGAATAGGAGGCGCTCGCCTCTGTCTTGTCCGTCCTCGTCCTTTCATGTTCTTCCCTTATTTATATTTTACCTCCTCAGCGTTCGCTCTTCTAAAGTGGAAAGAGTGGGACGAGCTTCCACTTGACGTTTGGAGTGAGGGGGGGAGGCAAGGCAGAGGTTTGTTACCCGTTTGCACCTCAAGAACTGTAGTAAAATAAAGTCCGACTTTTCGCAGAGCATTACTGATTTCCCCCTTTATGTAGAGAATTAAGATATATGTAGGCGAATTGTAGATTAGATATATCTTATTTTATTAAGACGTACGCGTGCCAAACGTCAAAAGCATCGCTTTTTCCTCCGACAACCAGATCTCGTAAGAACTACTTCGCGCCGCGTATGAACAATGCGCAAAAAGGGTAGGGGAAGGCAACGCCAGGTGAAGAGAGATAGGGCAAGCACTAGGATGGCTGGACGGGAGAGCGGGGTAATGAAGGGCGAGGGGAGGAAGAGAGAGCACCAGGAACGTTAGGGAGATTGTTTCTCTCCTCCTCCGCAGCCATCCTACTGCTTGCCCTTTCTTCGCTCGCCCGGCACTGCCCTCGCCTGTACTGCACGCAACTAGTGACACGGAGTACATGTGGTACTGCGCGTTGTCAGTGAAAGAAACGTGTGTGTAGCCCCTTTCCGGCCTCTACAACCTTCACAACCGCCGAGGGGGTCGTTCACCCATCTCGGCGGTAGGCGGGATGGGTGAACCACCCACTCCGCCGACCTTGAAACTCTCGGCCCCCTCCGGGGAAAGTGGGTCACCAGATGAGGACGACCCGAAGTGGAGACGCCACCGCCGTCTCGACAGATGGCGCGGATTCTCGACCAACGCTTTATGTTTTCTGTGTTATTTTTAGATTAGCCGTTGGTACTAAAAACAACTACGAGGTGGCGCAAGCCGCCGCCTGTTTGAAGGGTTGAATCGTACGCGTTCATCCATCCATCCAACAGCGAGCCCAAAAGATGCCGCAAACTTCACAATGGACCGCAGAGGACGCTATAAGCCATCGAAGCCAATCCGGTGCCGTGAAAGTGTCACGTGACCATCGGGAAAAAGGCGGCGACGCACAGAATCATGCAAAATTGTTAAGATGTCTAACAATTCACTCAGTCATAACTCACTGCTGGTCAGTGAAGTTATATGCTTAACAAAATTGCACAAACAGCTACAAAAGATCTTTAACTTTTTATTGTCAATTAAAAAAAAATGCTGCACTGACAATGGCCAGCCTCACCCAACTCCGACCAAAAAGGAAGCAAGACACCAAACTTTTGCGGCAGTCAGCCGTTTTGAGCACATGAAAAAAATAGTTTTCTACGGCTTAGAACCTGATCGCTGCCAATGTATACTTACAGGCGATTAAAATTACGCATTACTTTATAACAACTAGAAATAACATTTACAAATCGCTCCTCACGCCTCAAACAGATCCTCTCATTTGAAGAGCAAACATAAAAACTTTCACCATTTTACGTCTATTATACAATTTTTTGTTCATGGAAATCTATACAAAAACAAAAGGGAAGCAGCTTACAAGATGACGCAACGTAAAAATGGTATAAATTAAAAAAAAAAAAAAAAAAAAACTTAGCCACATGGAATAGTATTTACACGCGTATCAGACAACCCTTAAGTAACAAGGATAAAAATGCTCCCTGAGTTACAAATATAAAATGCCGAATCTAAAAGCACATAAAAAAAATTAGTTTTATACGACTTATAAAAGGTCAGCTACAGATGACCTGTAACAGCCAGACTGACCTGTCACAGCCCTGCCCTCGAGCGCTGGTCGGGCGTAAAACGATTCATAGGAAGGAGCCAGTGAACAGAGTTTGGAACTTTTCACAAAGGCATCTTTAAGTGGTTCACTGATTATACTCAAAGTTCATTAGTGTATGTTTCTGGAGGGAAAAAATGCAAAATAGAAACTTCTCTTCTTTGCGCGGGAAGAAAACAGAAGCAAACCGTCAAGATGGCGCTGCTATTCACATAATGAATCGCACATTCTCTGATTTGCTGGGTCCGCGTTAGGGTGTTAATCTCTAAGGAGCTGTCAAGTTTTTGTACCATGTGGTGCACCCCATATGTGTGTAGCAGCGTCAACCTGACAGTTTGCTTCTGTTTTCCTCCTGTGCACGGAGAAAAACGTTTCCTTACATTTTTTTCCTGGAGTTTAACACTCACGAAACTTAAGTATAATCAATGAACCACCTAAAAAAAAAGAAAGAACTTTGTGAGAAGTTTCATGGAACTCTGTTCACTGGCTTATTTACACAATTTTTTTTTACTCCAGAATAGTGCTCGAGAACACCTTGTAGTATGGTCCAGGGTGCCTTAATGTCCATACGACTGTCTTAGGAAAGTGCTATCAAGTCATTTTGGGCATGGTGCTTTTCTTTTCTGTGCACGTGGACGAGTCTCTCAGATCGAACTGGTATATTCAACTGGCGTGAAAGCGTCAATTTAGTTTACATTTCCTACTTGTATTTCTTCCTGCAGTCGCGTGTTGTCGAAATCTCGTAGTATAAAGACTGGCACCACCTTCAGAAGAATGAGGCCCTTGCATTACCATATGAGAATGATCATATGGTCGTACCAGTGCAATCGTACAGCCTACCGATATGACCATACTGGATGATCATGCAGCCTACCGATATGACCATACCACATGATCATGCAGTTAGTGATATGACCACACCAGTACAATCATTAAGTCAGAGTGGCTGTAACCAATATACCAGCATGATCTGTAACAGCGACACTGATAAAACCATACAAGTATAATCACATCAGGTGATCAGGCAGCCAATCTAATACAATGTGAACCAGTATGACCATAGTCATACTGACATGACCATACTAGTACAATTCTATGATCATACTACAGTTGAACCTCGATGTAACGAAGTCGGTAAAATTCGCAATTTACTTCGTTACATTGAAATTTCGCTAAATCGAAATTTGGCTTTAACATGCGAAAAAAAAAAAATTCCGAAACATTTTACGGGTATGAAAACTCACCGAAAATGACATTTATTTAGGGGCAAAGTAGTCCGCGAGTTTTGCTTGCGCCTTGTCCGACAGTAGCAGCGGCGTCGGCGGCGTCATACGGCGTTCGAGCGCCCAGAGCCCAGAGCGCTTGCACGGCATCTTGCTGCCCATGCGACGCCGTGTGCCTCCTCAGTACGTCCATTGCGTAAGCACTTCTCGAGTGCTCGTGATCTCGGCAGTTTCTTCAGGATGGCGTCCAAAACGTTTGCTTTCTCATCCAAAGAAAGAACTTTACGTTTCCTTATGGCAGCAAGCACGTAAGTGAACCGCCCGGTTAAAAAATAAAGCTGTTTAGTTTGGGTCCATATCACAAGAGCGAATGACATTTTAGCGAACGGCGACATTTGAGCGAATGGTCGTTTTAGCGAATAACGGGGGCGCGCGTTAACCCATCCGTCGCGCTGCGCTTTATGCCGCTTCGCGGCGACAGTCTGCGGCAACTCATTACAAAAATATAAACTCACTTGGCCCACCCGAAAACGCCGCTTCGCGGCGTCCGACTATTCGCTAAAGTGTCATTCGATGAAACGTGGGCGTTCGCTAAAACGTCATTCGATCAAGTGAGTGCCTCCCGTTTAGTTTAGGCAGTTTAGGCGGTGCCAATGTTTCCAACCTACACAGCACTCTTGACCGCACAGTTTACTTGCCCCCTTGCGCCCACAGTGTGCTTGCGCCTTTGCTTTACATCACGCTCGCAAGACGATAATCGGTCTTTTCGGTCTTCTCCTAGATGGCACTGCCCGTGCGGTCGCGCGGGCGCGCCATCACGTCGCTCCCCCGCTGAAGTTGGCTCCCGCGCTACCCGCGGTACAGTGGACTATGATGATCAGTGAATGTCAGTGGTGATGCTGTTATGCCGTGTTAACTTTTTGCTCGGCATTTTCTGGCCAGCCTCGCGGAATCCGCTTTGCCGCATGCCTCGCCGGCGCTACCGGCGCCGCACCCTCGGGCAGCCTAGGAACGTTGGAAGGCCTGTCCCCGTGAAGTAACCTATAAAGCGCTCGCGTTTGCGCATAATTTTTTTTTTTTTTAACCACAATTTGTTTGCGCAGTTGTTTTTTAGAGTTGATTTATTTATTGCCTTCTATGGCAATGGCGCTTCGTTATATTGAAATAGCTGCAAAATAGACTTCGTTATATAGGGACTAAAAATACATGGGGTCTATGGGCAAGAAATTATGAAAAATAAAATACTTCGTTAAATCGAGGATTTCGTTACATTGAAGTTCGTTATATCGAGGTTCGACTGTAGTCGGTTCTATGACCATACCATACTCTGTTTCACCATAACTTGGCAAACTGTGGAGCCCACAACCCCCGCAAGACAAAAAGAGCGCCAGAGCGAGGCACGTGATACCATGTCACGGGAGCGTGTGTCCCTGCGCCAAGGAACAGGCTGTCATCTGCTGGCCAAGAGTCGTCTGCGGCAAAACCAACCACTTCAGACAAACGTCCACCGCCGCGACACTGCCGTCCACTAGAGCAGCGATCTCTTCGGAAACGGTTCACAAGACAACCATACGCTCAATAGACCATATGCAAAACTGTTTGAACACCTGGCAACACTCTGTGCACAGCCATCTTTGTTGCGTCGAGATTCCTCTGCTGTTTGTCGATTTCGTAGCGTTGTCGGTAACAATCGAAGCCCACTGCTCACCGTCATCAATCCTTACCCACACTAGCGGGCGAAGGGTTAGTATTGTTTTACGCTCTTCATGCGCATGTACATGCTCGTCGCCCCGCCGGTCGCTAGTTTCTTGCTGCAACCAACATGGCGAACGTACACTTCACCTCGATATTTGGCTTTGAGTGCTGGCAAAGGTACGGGTTTGGGCACCTGGTTTTCGAAAACGCTTTCTCCGCGCAAGTGCTTGTGCGAGCGAAGGATTCTTTAGAACTATGCTTTTGCGCCCTGGCCTTTGCCAGCACCAAAGCCAACTGGTGAGACGGTGCATGTTCGTCGGCGCCCCACTAGATGGCGCTGTGCGTTTCGCATGTGGTCTATTTACCCTCGAATCTGCGGTGGGTGCTACTAATGCCAGGGCAATGTTTTAAGCTGAAGCGGTCATTATACGGTTTTGATTGCCAACCGCCACACAGCGCTACAAGGAGAAAAAAATTAGGACCGGATACGGATGTAGCATCACTTTTTTTATCTAAATATAATTGACTCGTAAACTAGTCAATATTTATTCATTAAATTTTTTATATATATTCTCAATAAAGAGGGAATCGCTAGAGTTCAATTAGCATTAAAAGAAGAAAAACCCTAGAATTATTTTTTTCTTCCCAAAGGCGCTGTTGCCGTGGCGATAACGAGGTCTCCGTGGCCACGAACATGGAGTGCTATCACACGACTTGCTCCGACACCCTTATTGGGTCGGGGGGGGGTCGCAGCCTCTGCAGTTTGCCGAGTTATCATGAAACAGAGTACAGACGATTCCATGGCCATACCAGTACAATTATGCAGCCAGTATGGCAGTAACTAGTATACCAGTATCATTCGTAGTAACCAGTACACCAGTATCACACCAGTAGGATCATCATAACCTCACCAGAACACTTATGTAGATACTAATAGGACTTACCAGACGACCACAAAGTCACACTGATATGACCCTAGTACAATCGTACGATCATACCAGCACTGTCACACAGCCCACATTTGGTCCCTCGAAGACACTGCTACCTAAATTCCGGCTTGAGCCTCCACACCCCTTGCCCCCCGTCGCGCCGGTAAAACTCGCAGATGCGTCCGAGCAGGGCCTTGAACACGGGAGCGCTTCCACGGGTCCGCACTTTGTCTTTGAAAGCGGTGAGGACCTCTTCCGTCGTCGCCTGACCGTCCACGCTCGCGCCGAATGCGACAAAAGTCTGCAAGTCCGCCAAGAGGTCGTCGTACTCCCCGCTCCCCGAGTCCAGGTAGTCGGCAGAAGACGGCGAGGGCTCGGCTCCGTCGGACAGGTGGTGGTTCCTCGCACGAATCCGAGCCAGGAGTTCGCTGGACGATTCCGGAACGTCGGGCGCTGCCGACGTTGCCGTCCTGGCGAGGTCATGGGTGAAGATGCCGGGTTGCCCGAGTAGGTCCTTTTTAAGGGGCGAGGGCGCCGCGGGAGGTTTGGAGGCTTCGGGAGGGTTAGTGCTGCCCGGAGTGACCCTGGACACTTTCTTTTGGCCGAAGCGTGGCCTGAAAGATGGCAATGTACCGTTATTGTTATTGTGATACGTCCCTACCTGCACAGTGGAAATTGTGCCTTATCTGTCTATGTGAGAATGTAAGATAGTGCCTTATCTATCTATGTGAAAGCATATTATATAGTGCCTTATCAGTCTAGATGAAAGTAAAAAATAGTGCCTCACCTGTCTAGACAGAAATGATTACTATCACCTTACCTGGCTACACAAAGAAATGAGTAGTTCCATACCGGTCTAAAAACAAAATAAAGAACTAGCGTCTTATCTATCTACGTGAAAGTAAAGAGGAGTACCCAATCTGTCACCATTAAAATAAATAATCCTAAATCAAAACTGGGATTATTATTGGATATCTCAAAGCATGAAGAAAAAGTGGTTGACAAATGAAAAATCAACTCGAAGCACTAAAACTGAACACAATGAGTAGGTGGTCACACAAGAGAGCAACCAACAAAACAAACCAATTTTCTTTTCTTTTCTGTTTTGTAGTTCTTTGCCTTTCAGTGGCTTCCTGCCTGTGCCTTCTATGTTTGTATATATTTATTTTGCTGCCTTGTTCTTTTCATTCCTTTTCTTTGATATATATTTCAGTCCCAAGTCAGTGCATGTTTGTCCCATGTTCCTTCCTTTTGTCCTGTTGCTCTGAGTGCTGTTTGTCATTGTGTTAAACGATCACCAACTGCTGCAAACTAATGCATCGAAGCTGAATTTGAGACACCAGGCAGTTTGTGTCTTGTTCCGGTTTAGCATTCATATCAAGCTTTACAGCAAAGATGAGAACACAAAGCTGGAATCGAGGCAATGTAGGGTATGCCGGCATTCCCAAGAAACGCAAGTGGCGCCCTCACTTGGTGCCGGGAGGCGCCCCCGAGGCGCCGTTGGCTCCCGTCCATGTGGGCACGCCGGAGGAGGCCCCCAGGCAGTGCCTCCGGGACTGGCGCAGCTTCCTGATGGCCTCCTTGGCCACGCGCTCCGCTTCTCCTTCCACCAAGACGTAGTCGGGGTCCGCGGAGTCCATGATGGTGTCGTGGCGCATCGCCGAATGCACCCCTGCGCGAGGACGTCACCAACACTGGCCTCAGCTGCTGAACCCCGAGGTTTCACAGACTACGCTTCCTTCCATCCCACCTGGCACCCTCACAACAACCGGCCCAGCGTCGAACACCTACCACAATAGACCTTGTTGAAAAATTAAGTGCCATCTGCTGGCTCGAAAGGCAGCTTCACTTTCGACAAACTGACGTCGGTTACGAAACTGTTTCCTCAGGCACCGTCACTTTGGCACGTCAATGGTAGATGAGAATCGGTTCTTCGATCACCTCATAATTCTTTCTTCCTTTGTTTGTTTCGATGGTGTGAACGTAAGAACTGACCGGTACAAGGTAACAACCCATAAGCCCCTCATTTAAGTTTTTACCATCAAAAAGCTTTAGAGACAAACTTGTGCATAGAGATTGATTGGACCGCACTCTGAAACAAATGCTTACGCAGCCGTTGTGCCTAATTCGTGTTGCACCGACAGCTCGAACATACATGCCTTATACAGTCCAATCCACTTATAATGATACCACTTATTACAATGTACAGCTTATAACAAACAATATCTATAGCAGGGGTGGCCAAACTGCGCCTCTTCACGTGTTAAAATGCGGCTCGCAGCTCCCTCCCCTACCCCCCCCCCCCCAGACCCCCAACCTTGATCTATAATGCCTACACCAGAAACGATCAGTTTATAGTCCAGATACAGTGATAGTCGGTTATAACGACTGAAATTTTGTGTTTTCTCATTATTGTTATAAGTGGATTGTACTGTACAGTCGAACCCGTTTATAACGAACTCCATCGGACACGCATTTTAGTTCGATATATCAAGTAGTTCGTTATAGCAAATATCGCTATTTCGTGAGGACGGCAAAAGCGAGAGAGATGAAAGGAAACCGCGCGGAATAGCGGCGAAGGCTGCCGAGCGTAGCGAGCCTCACGCCGGCGCTCAGAGCCGTGTTATCGCGAGGCAGCTTTCATGATGGAACATATGTATTCATATTTCTATCAATAAATTTCAATATTGAAACATATCATCTAAGAAAGCCCGAAAATTTCTAGGTAACAGACAATAAATGAACACGATAATTCCGTAAAATTGAGAAGGAAAAAAAAGTCGTGGCACTTACGACAGAGAGAAGTCTTTATTACCTGTTCTTTTGATATTACCGACAGAAGCTGGTAATTTTTGCCTGCGTCTTCGCTTTTACTGCGTCCTTCAAAATTTCGTCCTCGACGCGAGATAGCTGGTTTACCAGACTTAGTCCACTTCCCTGAAGCTGGGAACAGTAGCGACGGAGCACTTCCGTCGCTGCAAGCGCCTCGTGAAGCGTCGGGCAAGGTGCCTCTGGGTCCTCTGCCTCCTCGTCGTCGTCGTCGTTTGCTGAAGCCGCCACGACCTCGGCGACAATTTCGTTGTCTGAAGGACTGCTGGTCACTGCGACATCATCATCCACTCCGAGAAAATCTTCCAGCTCCACGCCATCCGGGACCGCGTCGGGAAGACGGCCGAGGTCTCTCCACATCTCGTTTAAGTCGTCATCCGTAACCTCGATTGCCTCTTCAGTACTTGCTCTGTCGTTATCCAGGTACAGTCCCGCGTGGCGAAAACAATTCTTAATTGTGTTAGGCGCGATGTCGCTCCAAGCACGGCTAAGCATTTCAATAGCACCCAACAAATCAATCTTCAGTTCTTTTCCCACACGCAGCTTGGTGAGCAGCTGCTCCACTACACGCTTCCTGTAACCTTGCTTGAAGGCACGGATGATGCCTTGATCTAGCGGCTGCAGCACCGATGTCGCATTAGGGGGCAGAAAACGAAGCTGAATGTTTTTTAGCGTGGCACCACAGTGATGCGCGGAGCAATTGTCAAGCAAGAGGCAAATCTTGCGGCCACTCTCGGACAACTTCTCATCCCAGTCGCGCAGCCAGTCCTCAAACAACACCCTTGTCATCCAGGCCTTTCCATTTGAAGTGTATTTCACTGGAAGAGACCGACACCCCCGTAGGCACATAGGGGCCTTGCTCTTGCCGATGATCAGTGGCGTAAGCTTGGAGCTCCCGTCCATATTCGTGGTGAGGAGCACCGTAATTCTAGCTTTGTTCAGCTTGCCGCCATGGCACTTCTCGCCTTGTCGTGCCAAGGTCCGACTGGGTAGGAGCTGCCAAAACAGTGCGGTTTCGTCGGTATTATAAATATCGCAGGGCCTGTACTGCTCCGTAATTGCTGGCCAGTTTTCGGCGATCCACTTCTTGACGCTTTCATTGTCGACTGCTCGACTCTCGCCGGCGACAACTTTGCCGACGATGTCGTAACGTTCCTTGAACCGTTGAAGCCATCCGGATCCGCCACTAAAATCTTGAACGTCGAGCAAAAAGGCAAAGTCTTTTGCTTTCTGCTGTAACATGGGGCCCGAAACTGGAAGGTTTCGAGCGCGAATATCCAAAAACCACGCGTACAGCGCCTTTTCCACTCTGTCAAAGGCAGGCGCCCGAATGCGCTTTCCGTCGGCGTTCGGTCGATCTCGGGACTTTTGCAGGATCGCTGGCTTGTTTTTCAGAATCGTACTCAGCGTGCTTCTGGCGATCTTGAAGGATGCGGCGACTTCTGACTTCTTCTCGCCGCGTTCAACGCGCCGGATTATTTCCACCTTGGTAGAGAACGGTAACGATGAACGCACCTTGGTCGCCATCTCTTGCGGGAACAGGAAGGACACAAAGAACAACGAGCCTCCTCGGCAAAACGCTAGGAACAAAAGAGCCATGTCCGGCCTGGTACGGCTGCAGGATGATGTCATCAGAACGTCATTGCACGCTTGCTCTATCATTGGCCAGCGCGCTTCCGCGGGGGCCGGTTGCGGTGTTGTGACTCATCTTCTCAAGGGTCGTGTTTTTCTTGGTTTTCTCTTGTCCTCTGTCGCTCCGTGCATGGCAGGGAAGCCAGGGAAGCCAGCGCGCTTCCGCGGGGGTCGGTTGCGGGCGTTCGCAGTCGGTTTTGTGACTCATCTTCTCAAGGGCCATCGTGTTTTTGTTGGTTTTCTCTTGTCCTCTGTCACTCTGTGCATTGCAGGGAAGCCCGCGCGTCTCCACGGGGGCGGTAGCGGGCGCTCGCAGTTCGATATAACCGATGTGTGGTTCGTTATAGAAAGTATATTTCTCATGAATATTGATCTTAAAATTTCGTGTGTTCGATATAGACCATAATTCGTTCTAACCGGGTTCGTTATAAACGGGTTCGACTGTATATTCTCCAGTTGGTAGTAGCTTCAGCATTTTCCTTCATCAGCTGCCATTAGTTTGGCATATATGCCTATGCGTTGAGATGATGATAGTGATCAAAGTTGCCAGATTGAATTCTAAAAAGGGTCAGTCATGTTGTTGAGTTCCCCCGAATGCCAGCCCATTACCAGGAATGTACCGACCGACAGTATAATCCATTCATAACGAGCCCTGGGATCTTTAGAAATGTGTCTGATCTATCGATGGCTTGCACCAAAGTCACATCAGTGGCCATTGTGGTGACTTTGCCACTCAGCGAGTGCTTCATGCAGCACGTGCTTTGCACCACCGAATATGTTTTCCTCAGCAAAAGCAATTGGGAACTATCTCCAGCACGGCAAACGATGGCATCACGTTCGAGCCACGTGTCGGCAAAGTGAAAACTCCTCGGCACAAACATTTGTGACCGACCTGCCCTCACTGCAAGCTCACCAGATTTCTTGAAAAGCTTTTGAAGCACGTAGTCATCCTGCTTCTGGGTGTGTTCCGACCCAGCAGGGGCGTCGTCTGCTTCCGGCTGATACGTCGTCTGCTTCACCACAAAGCCAATATGCTCGCCTTCCACAACTTGCACAAAAAAAAAGAAAAGAAAGGAAATATAACAGCATTTACAAAGTATAGTGATACACTAGATGATGACACTGACCAACACAATGCCACCAAAAATTTGTGCAGCCTGCAAACTTCACAGATAGAAAATGTATGAAAGTCTCCATGGAAGGTGAACTCTATGTGGAGGGCAAGTTCGTCTGCTCCTTGCGCAGGGGGTAGCGGTGACTTCAGAACGCCGAGCCCTGATTGGCTGATCGCGACCCCCCCTATCTGAGCGTCGTCAGCTCCTTTGCAACGTCGTCTGCTCGCAACGTCGCCTGCGTCTGTCTTACCTTTCCTGCGACTTTCGAAAGTGCAGAGGGTTCACAAAACGATTTTACGCCAAAACTATGCGCAAGACAAAACTTGAGAACAAATTCGTATTCACGAAACAAAATTTTCGTAAGTTTTGCGCAGGTTACGACGAAAGCTTACGACAGGTCCGAAGCTGTCTTACGCACTTCTTACGATCAAATCAGCATGGCCGACAGCGTAGCGGTCGCGACGACCAACGGACGTTTATTTTTCTATGTGCACTTCTCACGCGTCCCGACTTCAAGCAGCAAGAAAAAAGTAAAAAGTATTTGAAACAGACCACGACGAACAAGAACGCTGGATCCACAAACACCCGGGAAAAGCTCCAGCGGCCACGATTCCCCCGACAACAACCAAGCGAGCACGGTAGATAGGCCTAGCAGGTACTCCGACTCGGCGACCGTCTGCCCAAGATAGGCCTAGGCCTAAAGCAGACGACGTTAACTGCGCCAACCCGCCGACACCGTTAAAGAGTGAGGGGTCTCGCCGCACACGAAAGGAGGGAAAAAGTATTTGGGAGGGAACTTGCGGAACCTAACACGCTCACTCTCGGTTCTTAGCAAACAAACCTCGGTGCCTCAAGACACCTCGCCAGTGAGTCCTTTGACTTCCCTCCTTGATGCGCGTCTGCTAGTTAGACAAAAACAACGTACCGCTCGAGTTATTTCGTCTGCTCTCTCTGAAAGGTGAAGTCGACCTCGCTCGACTTCCGAAAGTCGCAGGAAAGGTGAGACAGACGCAGACGACGTTGCGAGCAGACGGCGTTGCAAGGGAGCAGACAACGCTCAGATAGGGGGTCTCAATCAGCCAATCAGGGCTCGGCGTTCTGACGTCACCGCTACTTCCTTTCTCATGCGCAGAAGACGAAAATCAGCCCACTTGCGAGGCGTATAAACTTACCTGCTCTTTTTGACTTGTGCTTCGACCGTGTTTTTTCTGGCTTCACATTTCCTGTCCGCTTTCTCGAAGAAGCCTCAACCGGCTTCGACGGTGGGCTTGTCTTGGTCTTGGCCGCTTGGGTCCCAATCTTTTGACTAAGTCTCCGGGCCAGCTCTCGCATTTGATCTATTTTCTCGGAACTCAGCAATGGTTTTGGTGTCACTTCGTCTTTTACCACGTGATCTTTCGTGGCATCCCTTTTCGTCACGTCCTCTTTGGTCAAATCATCATTTTCCGCAGCATCTTTCGTCCTGACATCCTTTAACGAGACATCCTTTGTCCCAACATCTTTCGTTATATCATCTTTCATTACATTCTCGTTTGTCACATCGTCTTTCATTGCATCACCTGTTGTGGGATCACCTTTTGTTGCAGCACCTTTCGTAGAACTTTCTTTAGACCGGATGCCATTTATTGGGGCATCTCTTGTTAAAACGTCTTGCACCACAGAGCCAGGTGTCGAAACATCATTTGTTGACGCACCTTCCGCCAGAACATCCTTCACTGGAATACATTCCGCAAGTGTGTACTTTGTCTCAAGATTTTGCTCCATGTCAACCTTCGTTGGAATGCTCTTAGTCTCTGAGCTTTCTTTAGTCACATTGTCTTTCGTAGGGTTCATCTCTGCCGCACTGTACTTTGACGACTGGTATTTGGTCACATCGAACTTATGTGGAGCACCTTCCGACGGGCAGTGTTTCGCTTGGCTGTTTTTCGGACGAGAGCTTTTCGTCGGGATGATTTTCGTGGCAGGGCCTTTCGTCCTTGCGTCTTCTGTCTCAGGGTTTTTCGTCCTGGACTCTTTCGCCTTAGGTTTCACGTCCGATCCCGTACCAGCAAAGATGGCGCTGGTCTCGGTCCGCTTCTGCTTGGCGTCGTCGGCGAGGCAAAACAGCTCGTGGAGGTCGTTGGTCTTGAAGAAGCGGCGCTGCTTCGGGTCTTTCAGCACTCGGTTGGTCAGGAACTGCTTAAAGATTTGCCTGTAGAGAAAACAAAAAAAATTTTACAGTTGAGGACAAGGCAAGGGTCGACACACTTGATCCCACGTCAGTGCTGCCCATAGGCAACATTTAAAACGCCAGCACATAAGTGCCAAGAAGACATCCCTCAGGCAGGCAAAGGTTTCACTTATCGCCCCGGACGGCACAAACTAGCGAGACACAAAACATAGGCTAGGTGGCACAAATCCTCTTCCAATTCAGAGGATTTTGCCGTATTCATCTATCCATCCATCCAATGCATCACCCCATTGCTTCCAGCAGAAATGAGAGACCTGTTGATTCTACCTTCTCTGCAAAAGTCTGTTGACCTGGTCAAATCACCTACTCTGACTCCAAGTCTCATATTGTTCTCACTTCAGGACATCAATTCCCTCCTTAATAAAGCAGCCTTTTGACTCAAATACAAGAGTTTCCAAGGACTTTTACAGAAATTTCATGTTACGATTCTCTCAGAGACCTGGAAACCCGGTCTTTAACCTTTAACAGTCGTCGCTGTACAGGTATGGCGGTGATTACAGATTCGAAAGTGCCCTTCTAAACGCGAAACTGCGCACACTGTGGGAGGTGTTGCTATTTATATCTTTGGTGAACTATAAGCATCATATTCGAATGTCGTTTCGCACTGCTGGGCTATTTATAGTTCTCAACTTAGACACTCTGCGCACGTGATGCTCACTTTGCATACTGGCTGCTCCGGCGGTAGTGCCAATGGGAGCACTGGCTGTTCCGATTAAGACTTCCAATGCTTTTAGGAATTAAATTCAGAAAATGCGATCTCATCATCCGACGCACAAGTTCTGCAAAGTACCTCCGGTTAGGAATCTGAAGTACGCTGGAATGTTGCGGAAGTGGATGAGCCGAAATGAAGCCGAACGAAAGAAAGGCGACAACTTTTCGCCTTCAATATTTCTATTTGGTGCCTCTAAACCTAAACAGATCGCAAAGCACTGTATATGCTCCCACTAGATGATTAAGAAAAAATCTGACCCTTTCTTTTCACTATTCTTTCGCAAACAAAACTGAACCATTGGGAAGCATCTCCTGGGGGAAAAAAAGACGTTTACAACTCTTTCTAATGCCGAATTAGAGAACAGCTCTTGAGGAGGAGGAGGGGAGGGTACAGAGAGGAGGGTACGCCCCTTCTCCTCCTCTGTACCCTCTCCCCTTTCTCCATCCTCCTCCTCTCCTCCTCCCCCTCCCTGCCTCCACCCTCGTGACGTCATCATGGGAAACGTCCCATGATGCAATGCACAGTTACGCCGATGGCGACGGCTACACTGGTCAAGCCGGCAACAGGCGCCGAAGAGCTGCGCTCTAAAAACTCGACCGTCAAAAGGGTTAAAAAAAGACTGCTGTACACCTCACCTGTGGTAGATCTTCTCTTCTATAGTCCCCGCCGTGAGCAGGCGGTAAATGGTGACATCCCGTAGCTGCCCGATCCGCCAGGCCCGCTCTCGGGCCTGGGTGTCCGTACTCGGGTTCCAGTCGGGATCGTAGATGACCACCCGGTCCGCTCCCGTAAGGTTCACACCGAGACCACCCACTCGAGTCGTCAGCAAGAACACAAACACCGACGTGTCCTGGGGAACGGTAACGACGGGTCGGGTCATTTGATGTACGCCAGAAGACAAGACGGTGATGCGCAAAATGTGGCTTGAGCAGAAAGCAAAAGACATCAGTGTTAGAATATGTAAAAAATGTGAGAACACGATGTAAGTGTCATGGGGAACAATAAAAACAAGTTAGGTCACCTAAAGCATGTCAACAAACGAGATGGCAACAGATAAAAAGCGGTGTGAGCACATGACAAGAGGTAACGGTGTTAAAAGACGTGTGCAATGTGAAAACACGACACAAGAGTCCTGGTTGACGGTAACAAATTAGGTCCTCCAAAGTGTGTCGGCAAACGAGGCAGTGACAGACAAAAAGAGGCATGAGGAGACGGCAAAAGAAAATTGTGGTACAAGACATAGACAACATGACGTAAGGGGAAACCGTGGTTAAGGTTGCCACACAATACCAAAGGGAGCCATTGCCTGCTGAAGACTGTAGAGTTGTAGGATTGCTCGGCCCTGGAAGCTATCAAAGGCTAGCCTAACTGACACTACAGAAGAATAAAAATGTTTCAGCAGACACGCAAAGGATGATTTGTTACATAGGAAGGTCTTTACCGCATTGAACTTGTTGATGGCGGGCTGCCTAGATGCGATTGGGGTCGACCCAGTCATGACCATGTACTTGTAGCCCTGGTCTTGCACAAACTTCTCCAGAATCAGGAGCATCTGGGGGAAAGAGAAATCTGTGCATCGAGAGACTTGCAGTTCATTGGACTTCAGCCGTATAAGATAAAATTATGCAAACGTCTCCAGAATCAGAAGCATCTGGGACAAAGCGACATCCATGCATCAAGACACCTCCAGATCATTCATCAGATGACATCTGATGAATGAATTAGATTGGATTGGATCGTGTCAATTACCAATCCACACATAGTTACAGGTACTTCAGCATTGGTCGACTTCCACGAGTAGACTTATCGCCTGTGCCCACCTGCCTGCTCTGCGTGAAGAGCAGGACTCGATGGCCCTGTCTCTTCCAGAGCTTGAGGAGGGACTCCACGACGGCCATCTTGCCGGACCGGCCGGGGAAGCCGTAGCGCATCTCCGCCGGCAGCGTCGACAGGTCCGTGTCCTTGAAGACCTTGGGACCTCCGTCAAACAGGTCGGGGTGGTTGCAGATCTTGCGCAGGTTGATCAGGCCCACAAACACCTGTGGACACAGCAGAATCAATCAAAATCCAAAAGTCGACTTGGCAAGGATTCTCCAAGATTAAGCCAAAGTCGTGACGTAGACATGCGAGTCACGCGATTGGTGTCTTAGTTCTTGACCAGGACGTATCCTTTCTTCCTTCTACCGTCCTTGAAACCCACAAGGTAGGTCCGTCTTTTGTTTGTTACTCCTCTCTCAACTACCTTAAGGCAATCCATTTCTCCCATGCCCCCTCAGTAACATAGGAAACCAGATTGGATTGAATTATATTATGGCAGTTCAACCCTTCATATTGGGCAATTGCAGTTTAAAAAACTTGGTCCCAGCAAAAAAGAAAGTGAAAAATAAAAAATAAAACAAGAAAAATCCCTACTTCTCCACGTGGTGAATGTTGTTGATTGGGGCGAAGCTCCCTCTGGTGGTGCTGATGATACTGATTTTATTGTTCATAGGTAGTGCTGATGGTGCCGGTTTTTTCTTTTATTGCTTATAGGTAGTGTTGAGTTCCGGTTTGCGTTTCGACTTCATTATTACTGCCCCAGCTCTAGCTGGTGATGTGGTAGTAACCCCACCTCTTGAGTTACTACCACATCTCAGAGCCCCCTACTCGTCCCGCAGTCGTGGCTGAGTGGTTAAGGCGATGGACTAAAAATCTATTGGGGACTCCCCGCACAGGTTCAAATCCTGTCGACTGCGCAAACATTTTTTCTTTTTTTAAGAAGACAGATGGGATGGCAATCGATGTGAGCACGAACGCCGGACAAGGCTAGATCCTAAGCAGCTTCGCCCCTAAAAAGAAAATCAGTGTTGCCCACTACAGCACAGTTCTAGTTTCGGGCTCACTTGAAGCAGGACTGCACAAGAGATATGCCTGCCTTCACAAAGTGAATTACACTAAGAAATTCAGAGGTACTTCTTTTTTCCACAAGCTACGCTTCTAACGTTGCCCACTGCCACATGGTTCCAGTTTTGGTCACGTTCAAAGCAGGACTGCACAAAAGATGTGCCTCCCTTTATGAAGTGAAATTCACTGAGAAATTCAGAGGCACTTCTCGCACACAAGCTCCATTCCTAACACACAACACAAAGTTCGCTATACCTGAAGCCTTCCCACAAGAATGCTCGCAATCTCGGGAGTGTCCAGGTACTGCCTGTACAGGTCTCGCTGGTGGTCGGTCAGGCGGCAGAACAGGACCTGAACAGCAGCAGGAAACAAGAGTTTGGTTCTTGAACAACAGGTCGACACATCCAGTGTTGCTCCCGTACTGAAGGCATTGCCTTCAGCACCAATGGTAACATCATTACTACTGACCAGTCTAAGGATACGCTTTTTACTTCTTTATACAAGTAATGAATATGTGCTCACAGCTTTCCTCGAGTGTATGAACCCACAGCACAAGCATCAAATATAGGCAGCTATACTTATTGAAGAAGCCGAGGAGTGGTAGCTACAGAGGAAATATCTTCCAATTACTGAGGAGTGTTAAACCATTCATGCTCTATCTTATCTTCGTTTCGGGTTTTAGACAGATGCAATTTTGCAATGCTCTTGTACCATTGCTTGCAATAGATGTTGCGAGCAATGCGACGCCAATTCGCAATATTCACAAGAAGCCTCGCAATATTGCTGGCAAGAATTGCTTGGAACAAATGCTTCGAGAAATGTTGCCAGAATTTCTGCAGATATGGCAGCCACTTTATTAACACTCTTGAGGCGAGCACTCAGAACACAGTTTTCAACGCTACAGCACAAGGCACGCTACACAAACATCCCTACTTATTTCCTTCCTAGTCCCAGGTTTCGACCGGATAAAAATGAACAATATTCCTCTATCACATATTGTCATAAATGTTGCAAGAAATCTTTCCCGCAACAATGGTTGAAATTATCAGAAAGAAGCTAGCAAATACTGAAAACAATTCCTGCAAGAGTCAGTCACCTCACAAACACTCCTTGTAACGATTGCTTACAACACCACTTCCAGAAGTACAATGTTGCAAGCAATGCTTCAAGTAGCCTGCACTGCAAAAGCAATCTGATTCAATGCTACCCTCTGTTTCATCACCTGTTCGTTCTTCTTGGGCAACTGAAGGTTGCACTGTACGTCGTCCTTCATGCGACGCAGGAGGTAGGGCTTGATGGTGTCTCTCAACACGGATGCACACTTGTAAGCCGTCTGCACCTGCACCGTTTAAGCAAAAGCCAGTTAATGTTTATCACGAGACCACAATAGAAAATCTATGATCCACCAAAGCATACAGTCAATAAAGCTTTTGGGGTGGAGGCCAAGTGGGCTAGTGTACACCAGCTCAGAGCACGTGGAGCAAACGCTCACGCTGCAGAGCCCAGGAATCGTGGGTTGAATCCCCACCCCTGCCCATTTCGATCTGGATGAGCATTTTATTGTCGAACGGTCGTGTATTACTACTGCCTGGTGCATGTTAAAGACCCCAGGCTAGCGGTTGTACTGCACTGGCTATATTTCTCATCTACAGCTGGGAGACAAGTCGCCCATTGAGGCAGACCAAGTTCTAGGCTGTATAAATACACACACAACACAATTGCAATTGCAGGCAAGTAGATCAAACGGAAAGCAACTCTAACACAGCAATCTATTTCGTGTGAACTTTCACAGCTGTGAAGAACTACCATGTTTATTTAAGTACAGGCCAATATTTTTTTGCACAACTCATTTAAAATTAGGGGTCGATCTATAATCGCAACCAAAGACTGTCGGCCCATACAAATGAGTGAAATTTCAATCCCATCGAGCTAACCCAGCTAGAAATACATATCTAGCGAGATTGTAGCAAGAATGATTCATTGTGATAGAACACTGGGCAGCTTCAAGCTGCCTAATGTTCTATTGCCATCACCAGTGGGGATATGCCAAATGAAAGAAATGGTCTACAGTAGGCTCGCAATAATTCGAACTCGGATAATTCATACTTCTGGTTAATTCAAACAAATTTCAAGATTTTGCTTGTTCCGCTATGTTTTTAATGTATTCATAAGCCGCTTAATTCTAATGGCGTTTTCGTGTAATTCATACTTCTTGTTCACGCAGCCTCGTTGAGTGTGCTTCTTTACGAGCACCGGTGCACTGCAGAAAAACAACAACCGCAGAGCTTGCTTCCGCGGGTGTTGCTTGCGCCTATGCAGTGCACCGGTGCTCGATGAGATGCGCAAGCAGCACATGCTCAAGCAGGGCCATAGCCTCCTCTATAGTGAGAAAGCCTGGCACATCGACGACGGAGCAATAGGGCGTGCGGCCGCAGGAAAAAGGAGAGGAGGAGCGCGCCGAACGGTGACCAATATGGTAGCGCAGAGCAGAAAGGGCAGACCTAGACAGCGAGCGCTTGGGTCATGAGCGGCCGCTCCCCGAACCACGCTTGTTTTTGTGATTTCGTCACCGTCGTTTTCGTGCTCCGGGAGAAACAGGCGCGGCGATTCGAAAGGGCGCAGGGAGAAACGGGAAAGGGTGAACGTTGAGTTTCTCCTCTCCACGATAGCGACAAGAAAAGAGAGAGAGAAAAAAAAAGATTGTTTCTGCGTTTGGCCGCTCGCTCTTTTGTGGCGCTAGCAGGCAAGTTTCTCTCCGCTCCCGTTTCTCCGCCCCTCCTTTCCCATTTACGGCGGCCGCCTTTCTCGCGACGCGCCAGGCTTTCTCTGTATAGAGGAGGCTATGGCAGGGCACACATGAACCACGAAAACGGGCACCACGTGGAAATTCTCACAGCGACTCGCGCGGACGCTGTGACGTGGTGGCATGGCATAGGTCCATGTCACAGCAACCACGCAAGCAACCGGCGGACACTTCGAACGACTTCCGGTTAGCTATTTGAGCGCCATCTCTTATCCGTTGGTATTCTATTAAGTCCTTCCGGTTTATGCCGGAAAGTTTATTTAATAGGATGAGATACATATTATTGTTGCTGCTTACAGATTTAAAAAATTATCCTGGTAAGATGAAACAAATATTTTGGTTAGCTAAAGTTTTGCCCTCATACTTTGCTTTCATTGGCCGGTTGTTTTTTGTATTTTGACCGTTGAGAACAATTGCGCGTCAGCTGCCGCGCTCGCGGATGCGTCGGCTGCTCGACGGCGCCTGTGCCAGCGGTGCGGTGGTGGTTTGCGGCAGCGAGCAGTGGCATTGACCTATTGGTTATCGGCCTATTTCTTCTACCAGTACACGGAGCAGACAAAACCTTGTCTATTGCTCGACTCAGTGGTGCTCTAATTCCAGTGGCAACAGCTCTGCCAAGTTCTTTGGGTTCCCGATCGAGTGACGAAAGGTAAAGACGGGCTGCTATACTTTTGGTTACACAGTTTCGGATTGCCGAAAACTTGCTGGTGCACGTTTCTTTATGGTAGAGTTATTGTAGAAGGTCACAAGGAACAGCGCATGTATCTTAAAATGAGCGGTGTGGGCGGTATCGGTGTTAGAGCACCGCAGCTCGGTAGCTCATGTGTGGAGCAGCTCGCTGCAGAAGGAACCTGCGACCGTGGCGATCGAATCACTGTCGCTAACTACCGCAAAGTTAAATGTGTGATTGCAGGTCTGTGAATACTTGAATAGTAGTTTCGTGTAGATTTTGTTCCTTTGTTGTGCCATGCAGTGAACGTTTTTTTTTTTTTTTTTTTCTCTGTATAAGGAGCGTGCCTAATAAAAAGAGAACTTGCAAAAGAAGTTTGGACTTGTGCTCAGATTGGCGATGTGCGCCCATCTTAAGCCGCTAAACAGCAGCGGCTGGACGTACTTTGCATTCACTGATTGACGATTTTATGAGAACTGGCTGTCACTGAACATGCACTGTTGACAAGCTGATCTCAATCGAGCGACGCAAAGTCAAGTGCAATCGTTTCGGAAGCGTCGAACATTCTCAAAAAAAGGTGAACACACTTTTTTTTTTTCTAGAAAAGATTACATTGTATTGTAGAAGAACGAGACGGCGGCAATGGGGGCAGTTCCCTCTTCTCTCAACATCAGCGACAATAGGATGCAAATTCGTTCGGAGTTCGGAGGCTGCTCCGAACTCCGAATGAACTCGCATCCTTTTGTCGCCGAGGGTGAGAGAGAGGGAGAGGAGGGACCACACTTCTCACACCCTCTCCCATAACCAAGCAGTTACCGTGACGACGGCGCGCGTATTGTTTTTTCTATTTCTTATTGCTTTTGGAGAAACCCAACGCCCGTTAGGGGAGATTTGGCGCTGCCGTCTGCAATTGGAGTCCCAATGGGAGGTATAGGAAGAATCCACCGGTTGCAACAAGTTGCTATGAAAACAGCCGCGCGGTGCCGTTTTCCAGCGCTCATGTGTTCGCTGCTTAATAGTTCACATCAGACCATTTCTTCACCTGATGAACAAACTTAATTTCGTTTTGAGTTGTGGGCAACATTTTTGGGGGGATAAACTTATGTCATACATTTCACAAATGTTTCCCGTGTGGCATACCTGCTTATGATCAGTAGGGCGATGTAGAGGAAATCACCAATGTGTAGCCATTCATATGGAAAATCATAATACTTTCTTGCATCATATTTAGATTGATTGTCGATAATTCAAACTTCCGATAATTCAAACACAATTCGTGGTTTCCTGCCTTTGTGCAATAAAGATGTTTTCAACAACAACAATACTGTATTATCGTTCCTACAAATAACTGCAATGGAAATAGCCCAACTATGGTAAATTGCAGTTATCAAACAACCTTTCTTTTCAGCTTTCACGAGCAACATGCAATTCATGTGGCTCGAGAAGGCTGCTATTTTCAGTCATAGGAGTGAACAGGTAGAAAACAAAGCTCTCTTCAAAGAACAAAAAAAACAAAAATTTAACTTGACGCCCACGCTACAAAGTTGCCGAAAGTACAGTCGACTCTCGTTAATTCAAAATCTCTTAATTCAAACTTTCGGATAATTCAAACTAACATGCAGGTCCCATCCTATGCGTCTGTATGGGAAGAAACTCCTGATAATTCAAACTTTGCTTTATTCAAACAAATTTACGGCCCCCCTCGAGTTTGATTTAATGAGAGTCGACTGTACCATAGCTGTGGCTCAGTTATTACGCAAAGCTGCAACTGAACAAAGCACTAAAAGCAGCTGATGTAAATCAGAACTAAAATAAAGTACCTCCAGCAAATTTCTAAGGTAGCAATAGACCCCGTTACAATGGTCAGAGCCGTTTAGTGTCAAAATCTCCAATATTTGTGCACTAATGGTGGTAAAAGAAGAACATCAACGTTCTTGGATCTATCAGTTGACAAGCTTCATGGAAAAGCGTCGTTCAAAAACGATTCTTCTCTCATGAAAACAGCGCGGAAGGTTGAGGACGGAGAAGAATTACACGGGAGGAATGCTGTCCCGTGTGGTTCTTCTACATCTGATAGCATAGCAAGCACCACTGAGCAATCGCGCCACGAAAAAGTGCCAGGCATTCTAGGAAGCATGTCAACTGACTCTGATCTAGCAACGTCGAACAAGATTGCCTCAATCAGGCACTCTCAACCTCGTGAATCGAAGATGACGTACGAGGACCAACATGATTACAACCAATTCCCTGTTTTCTGCTTTACGTTTTCCAGGACATTTGCGATTCCCAATGTGCAAAAGCTGCGTGATGCCACCATTAGACTGACGTTTTTTGCTCTAAAGTCACTGGATCGTGGGAGAGCAGCACCAAGGTCCTTGCAAGGTCACTATTTGGTCCAAAGAATGAGCAGCTTCCCCTTGACCAGATGGAAATTCGCAGTGATGGGCTGCTTAATAAAGACAACTCTTGCATACCGAAATTTCCTTATCCACACACCGGCGAAACGAGCACACATTGTCGCACCACCACCACATGCGGATGATGCTTGGTGGCAATGAAAGATAATTTTCCTGTCACAAGATATGTGCCAAGCTAAGCCAGATTGATAAGTTAATTGCATAAACAGTGCCAAAGGCACTTATATTGGCAAGGAACACTTCCAGTACGAAGGCGCCTTATCGCGATCTTGACGCGGCTCGTTCGGAACTACCTTTTCGAAACTTCGAAGATAAGCAAGGACCGAAATGGTGATTAATTGCCATGGCAACAGACGTCATTCAGCCAATAGCCTCGAGAGGTTTTAGTTGTCTGTATGTTTGTATCTGTTTCTGTCCTGCTAGGAGGTAGGGAATGCAATGGAACTACTTTCCCAGGATGCAGGGACTTTATTCGGCTCTCAGCAGAGCGGCTAGACTGACTTTTGAAAAATGGTCCATTCAGTCAGGAAATGATGGAAATACCCTCTTAACCCTTTTCAAAACTCAGTCTGGCAACGCTGATCACTATCATCATCATTTCAGTGTGTGGCATTGCTGTCAAACTAATGGCAGCCTTTTTGAGGCTGATGAAAGAATAAACTGAAGATACTACCAAGTGGAGGATAAATTAGGCCTGTACGTTCGAGACGTGAAGAACAACACGACGCTTGAATTAGATAAAACGGCTGCACAAGCATTTATTTCGGAACGCGGTCCAATCAATCTCTAGCCACAAGTCTAGATCTAAAGCCTTTTGAAGGTGGAAATTTAATCAAGGTGCATAATGGTCGCCGCTCTGTACTGATCAGTTTCTACAATGACACCATCAAAACTGAAACGAGTCAAGAAAGAATAACGAGGTGATTTAAGAACCAATTTTCATCTGCCGTGCAAAAGTGCCCAATGAAATACAGTTTCACGACCACTATTGGTTTGTCGAAAATGAGACTGCTTTTTCAGCCACCAGCTGGCACTGACAACTTCCGCGCGCTTTAACGACCCGTCTTTCTCTCAGCGTCGGAGAGAGGTGCCGATCGGCCAATGGACGGACTCGCCTGCACGTCGGTGGCGTTGGAGTATCCGCCCTGGGTGATGGGCACAGCAAACTCCTGCATGAAGACTGGCAGAGTGCCCAGCTTGCCCGGGAACACAAAGTCAAAGAGCGACCAGAGTTCCCTCAGGTTGTTCTGGATCGGGGACCCCGACAGGATGATGCGGTGCGTCGTGCGAAACTGGACCACATGAAAAAAGAAAACATTCTTGGCAAATTGCTAAGATATTCTGTTGCATAAGTGAGACGTTCTGGCATCTATGATGTTTAGCTATACTCCCGAGTTTCCAGACGCCAGACGCCTGGTTTCTCGGTGCTGTTCATCAGATAGTTTAACGCGTACCACATGTACACTTGATACGTGTTCCTGGAATGAAGCTATGCTACCGCTAATTGGGCTGATAAACCTGGCTATCTTCCACAACCTTCCACACTCTTGAGCACTTGCCTACCCCTCTGGTCACATGACCTCCCCATTAACCAATCAGCATCGTGCACATCGCTCCTCCCCTCCCACCCGCCAACCAATCAGTGTCGAGCCTCGCGGCCCCCCTTTTATGTGTGCTCCACAAAATACCAAACACCTAGCAAAAGAATGTTCCACGCTAAAACAGGGAGAATTTGTTTAAAACAACACTAAGCTCCCAAAAATAATCTTTCTAAGTGCCTTGCAAAGGACACAAATATTACGAAAAAATCTTTCCCCCCCCCCCCCAAAAAAATTAATTTTTTAGCGCAACATTTACGCTGCGATACTCGTTTCGTCATTTTGGGTTTGGAGCGATTCAGAAACATGCTTTTATTTCGGGATGGTTTTGTGCCCAGAGACATGAGGCTAAAAATGTAAAAAGAAATGCAAAGGCACAATAATTCAGAGATGCAAGGATACTGGAATGCAGGATCCGAAAAATGCAAGTACACAAAGAAGTCGTTGGGCCACAACTGAACAATAAGAGCGCACCAGTGCAAAAACAAAAGGAGACCAGAATGCAAGCGCACAACGGTGTAAAAACACAGGGACACGTGGGCAACAAGTGCTAAGGCTCACCTGCTTGCAGGCCAGGGTCGTCTGCGCGTCGGGATTCCTGATCTTGTGCCCCTCGTCCAGAACCACGTAGTGCCATTCGTGCCTCAGCAGCATCGGCGAGAGCTTGCTCACCCCGGCGTACGATGTCACCAGCACTCCACGGTCACGATTCACCTGCCTCACCAGAGTCTCCTGCACAGAGACCAGAGATCGCTCGGTCTAATCAGGCACGAGACACACCGCCATGATTGAAGCAATCATTTGCCGTAACTTCTTGATATGAGGTGCTTCTCGCAAGGTGTGTACCACGTTATGTATTTTACCCAAGATGACAAACTAGCAGTCACGCACGTTTCGACACAAACAGCCTGCAAACCTGGTCTGCCAAGAACCCGGCCGCCACCGCTGCCCCGTAAACTACAAAACCATTTTTCTTCTTTTTATATTACTTTTTTTTTTTGGTCTAGCGAGTCTGGGGGAATGCGATGTTTTGCTTCCTTCCACTTGCCAAGCTCTCTCAGAAACGAAGCTTAAGCAGCCCACTTCCATCTCTGCCGTTCAACTTGCAAACCTCGAATGGACAAAGTGCAAGGACCCCAGGCACACCTTGCTTCCGGCGAAGGAGCCCGAGTCGTGCAGAATGGCCACCCTGACTGGAGGGTACCACCGATGAAACTCCCTCACCCACTGGTGCATCACGGTCGTCGGGCAGATGAGCACCACGGGGCCCAAGCCTTGAAAGCTGTGACAAGAATAAAGAAAAAACATTCAGAAACTCTTTTTTTTTTTTTTCTTTAATCAGGTGCCTACTTTGCCATCTCGCATCTCAGTAGGGGGGAATACAACTACACACACACCATGAAACGAAAGCATCTTCAAGCAGTCAGTCGGCTTATAAATCGGCCCATCCGTTGGTCAGTTGTTTAGCTGACTACCAAGGCATCGAAACTTGGAGATGACGTCCAGCTATCCTAAAGCGTCGACGCCTTTGACCATTGATAGAACACTGCCAACAATAGGATAGACGGGGAAGAGACTACTATGCCCGAAAACACACCTACAACTTGTGTGTTTGGCATCCTGTGCGGAGCACAAGTCCGTCTGCTTCTTGCACAGGGGTTGCGGCGACGTCAGAACGTTGACCTCCGATTGGCTCGGATCGGAACAATAGTAGGTAGACCTCGAGGCAGCTAACATCGAGGTCTACCCATTATCCTTCCAATCGGGGTCAATCGTAGCTCGGCGTTCCGACATCCCCACAACCCCCGTGCAACAAGCAGACGAACTTACGCTTCGCACACCGCCCACCAAAAGTGGTCCCAAAGAAGAAACAAATCGCAAAGTAGGGGCCCGGCATGTCATGATGTTGGATGCCACAATGCCAACGATTAGTCCTGGTCGTTCCCGTAAAAAGCATGAGAGTGTCGCAGCCGTCAGGCGTCCAAACTCGTGGCCACTGAAATTTTTGTGAACTACAAAGCTGAAGAGTGATCAGGAGCAGAACAAACATCTGCCGTGTCTACCTCTGCGGTTGTGCCACCTCCGGGAGCACAGCAGACAACGGCACGAGACTTCTGAGACGTCATTTGGTCGAACTGGAAATGAGGACCCGTTAAAAACGGCAGACGGAGGTGCAGTGAAGACACTACAGACAGACTTGCAAGGTGTTGCGCTGTTCCTTTTACGTCTGCTTAAAATATAACTTTACAACCAGGCAGACAAACTCCTCTTTCTTGTAAGAGACCGTCCCTAACACGTCGAATTGCGAAGCAGGCGGTCACCTGTCACCAAGAGTTCGTAGGTTGCTGTGGTGCAGGCCGGCGAAGAAGGCGATGGTCTGGATGGTCTTGCCGAGGCCCATCTCGTCACCGACGATGCCACCGGTGTTCTGCCGATGGAGCTCCCAAAGCCAGCGCACACCGGTCTGCTGATACCTGTGGGAAAGACACCAGTTTCTCAGCCCACACGCTGTTCAACACTAAACAAAGTATATTTGGATAGTTGCTCACAAGTGAAATTTCTTACGTCCAGCACCTAATTATAATTGAATTCAATTCATTATGTATATTTATTTATTTGAGTAATATAAAGGCCTCTGTATAATTGAATTCAATTCATTATGTACATTTATTTATTTATTTGAGTAATATAATGGCCTCTGTAAGGCATTACAAAAGAGGGGAGGTTAGTCAAATAAAGAAATTAAAAAAGGCACAGAGCACGCAAAGGTGAGATCAAACAAAGATTGGAGAAATAAGTGAGCTTTGCTTTGCATTTAGTTGCCCCTGCCTTTTTCTAAATGCATATCCTTAAAAAGGCTGCCTTAATTCAACAGGCATCTACATTATTATCAGTCCCATGGTAGTTCCTCAAATGTACCGGGAATGATGTAATGTCCAATGACAAGAAGACAATCAGATTTTCTACACTTAGTTGTTTCTGCCACTTGACTGAAATGATATTCGGCCCATACTCATCTAGGTTTTCATTCGGCAGTCACTGGGATTTGTACACTGTTGTTACAAGTAAAGTAACATTTACCTTTAAAAGTGAACCTTTCGGTAGAGATCTACACGATTAGGAATTATTAAAATACTACAGAAAAACTTTTACCATCTAAAATTTGAAAATTCAACGTTTAGAACGACCAGCTCGACCCCTTGATAACGGACGACTGTTTACATCTGTGTCATTGTCTTCCAAAGTGCCCAGTATCATATTTTCGATGTGCTCGGTGTGATTGTTACATTTCGAAGTACAGGGTGTGTTATGGTGTTGGTCTTCTCGTCTTTTCCCACGAGACACATCTTAATACAGAGTTGTAGCTGCCTGGTAGCATTCCAACAGACTGGTTGACATTGTCTGGGGTGCTTTGAATATGCCAGGACTCTACCAACAGGTGTTTTTGCCGATTTCGTTCTTTGTGAAGGTTGGTGCTGTTTTTTAATGCGATGGTACGGTGCTCCCGCACAGTGACCTCCGTGGCCTCTACACTCTTTCATACCGGCCGTCACGGTTTGCTCCCCCAAAGAGACTTTGAAAAAAGAAATTGCAGCCATCAATCAAGGCCTCAAAAATCTTCCAAAAATTGTCCCTCAATTCGCGATCCACCACACGATTTTCGTGTAGTGGCTACCCCACCCCGTATGTTGGGAAAACCAAAAAATTCCCGGAACGGCAATGCAGACGCCAGTACGACATTAAAGAGAAGGACATACGGGGCAGCGCATTAGCCGAGCACACTGAGCAGAAAAACCACAGCATCGCAATCAAGAACAGCACCGTCCTCGACAAAGAAAAGAATATTCAAAAACATCCGTTGTTAGAGTCCTGGCATATTCAAAACACAAACCAATCTGCTGGAACGCTGCCAACTAGCTACGTCTCTGGATTAAGAATACTGACGCGGGAAACGACGAGAAAACCAGCACCAAACCACACTTCGAAATTTCAAATGCAACGAAGACACCAGGCACATTGAGAAAGACGACACCGGGCTCTTTGGAAGACGATGACAAGGACATCAAGAGTCACCCGCGATCAAGGGACCGAGCTGCCCAGAAACGTTGGGTTTTATAATTTGGGCGGTCAGAGCTTTTCTGTTCTATTTTAGCACTTAGGCTTGCCATGTACTGCACAAAAATTTAATGAATTTTTGGGCGGCATTTGTCACAAAAGCAATTTGTAAAACGCAAGAATGCCTCAATCGGAAAAAAAAACACATCAGAGATTTGCGCACTGAACCAATGAAGAGCATCAGCCCAGCTAAGTACTAGAGTATAACTCAAACAACTTAAAAAATCTTGTTATGCAAGTGAAATCTCACTGATACGATGCATACACTCCAATAAAGCGTAAACATATGGGAGCAAAACTCGCCTCGCTTCATGCTGCTGAGGACAACCATTGCTGCCCCTGGTGGTTTCTATAGTTACGCCACGCAGCAAGCGGTGCAACGCAATTTTTGCTCACACGTGTTTCACGCCTCCGTCCGACTGTTGGAACCTTGACCAAAATTTGATCCCGGCAAATAGGAAACCGTAAGCCAGTACTTTGCGTCAAAGCCACTAGGGCGGCTCTGTGTTCCAAGCGGGCAGGGCTGTATTGCTCACCTGTAAAGCTTGTTCCAGATTTCAGCCGGCACCCGCAGCTCGTCGTCGACTTCAACTGCACTGTCGGAACCCGATTCTCCGTCTCCGCCGTCGAGGATCTTTTGGTGCTTTTTCACCAACTTTGCATGGCGGTGTTCCCTAGGAAAAGTGTGAAACCAGAAAAAGTGGTGCTGAGGACTACAGGAAAGTTAAGAGAAAACTGAGGGAAGCTATTGAATATGAAGCATGGCTGGAAAAATTGGAAAATCTAGGCAACTTTAAGTGTGACTATAGGGAAACCATTGAAAACGAGAGGGAATGCAGGAACGTAAAGCATATTCAAGACTAAACATCCCATCCAGTTACTCCCAACATTCCGCAACGACTCTGCAATTCCATCTGGATTTTCTGCCGGGTCAAATATAGAACGCGCAAAAATGAAGGCGTACAGAAACACATGGTTCTTGAGATAACAATCCTTGAAGGAATTTGACAACCAAGTGTCGTTAGCGCACATAAAAGGGTGACAAGACGGAAGTCGCAAAGACTCACTTGATTCTTTTGACGTAAGAAGCATAATTTCCGTCATCCAACAGCTTCTTGAATCGTTTCTGTGGTGGAGGCTTTTTAAGGTCGCCGTTCTCGCTCAAATCAAGCTTTTGTTTCTTGGGGGTACTCAGCATACTCTTACTTTTTCTCTCGGGCACCGCTGTAACACCAAAATAATTTATTTTTCTCAAATTTTCACTCGCACATTGTGTACTCTGCTCAATGCCTCCAGATTGACAAATTAAAATTACCTACTGTGCAAGTCATAAAGATATGACATTATCACAAGGGAAGTTAAGAAATTTGACATGTCTCTTAACAATACTGCAAATATTGAGTGTGTCAAGGATGAGATAGTGGACTGCATAAAGTTCATGCATCACAAACCATAAAACTTGCTGTATTTCTGCCCGATATCATTCATTCGCTTTCACTGCTCATATAAACACTCCACCCAGGTTCCATCAAAAGCAGTAGCTAACTGAACAACGTCAGTTCCACATGGCATCAATTATGATTTCACTCAATACCGAATTCCTAGATTTAGAACCCACAGACGGGCTGACGTTTTCTCAACTAGGTTTTCCATTAATGAGACATAGCGAAAGCAACTCACCCTTAGGAAGGAATGCAGAGTCAGCATCCTCATCGCTTTCAAAACAATCATCAGCGTCAGGTTGATACTCTTCGTCCGACTTCCCGAGCTCGGCGTCGTCGTCATCGCCATTTTCGAAATCACTCATTTCTGGATCCAACAGGAATTCCTCACCCAGCAAACTGTCGTCGCGGCCTCGAGCTCGCCACGCCGGTCGACGTCTGGTGACCGTCCCGAGCTTAACCTTCTTTTTTCTCTTCCTTGGGGGCGGCACTTGAGACACAAGTTCGCGAGCGGAAGTCGAGCCGCCCCTAGAGCTGTCGTCCGCTGCCTGCCTTGAAGTCGTCTGCCCACTCGTGCTTGCAGAAGACACGTCTTGCATCGACGGTTGCCAGGAAAGTGTTTGGTCGTCGTCGTCGTCTGTTAGGTCCTGCTCCGTCGTCTGCCACCTGCTTGCAGACGAGCTGCCGTCTGTTACGCGACGCAGTTTGATAGGTGCCAGTTTATCGGGTGCAGTCGTCTGCTCCTGGTTTTGGACAAGAGTGCCGAACGGCGTCATCTGGCCGGTTCGGATGAGCCTTTCCTCTTCGGTTTCTTTGCGGCCAAACATGCGTTCCAGACGAAGCTTGTCGTCTTCGTCCAGGTCGTCTGCACAAAATGTATGCTTCAGTGGATATACCCTGGACTTTTTCTAACCAAAGAATGCATCAGACAACATTGTGATGAAAGCTCCTTGCATGTTCCCGAATAATAAGAGTAGTGTCGCTAACAGACAGAACAGTACTAGCTTATGCTCACAAGCACTCGTAGAATTGTAAACGTTTCTCCAACGTGCACCACAGACAAATGCACAATGGGATCCCAAACAAGAAGTCGTCATAATTCGTTTCATCATACGACTGACTGCGCAGAACGCTACGAGTCTTCGAAACCAATTCAATGCCGCGCGAGTGTCTCATGACCTTCCAGAAGGGCACAGCAACAAGCGGTGTGCGCAGTCACGCGACGTGTTTGCGGCACTCAACTGGCTAGGATGGCCCGTACCGTCCACTGCAGTTCACCCTAAGGTAAAACGAAGTATAGACAACAGTTGCACACTTACCCGTGTTCGAAGAAAGTGCCGACTCAACGCCGGGCACTCCGCTGGCGGCAGCCACCAGGGCAGCTTCCCTCGACTGCAGCTTTTTCAGTTCTTCCATCTGTTAAGGAAACATTGGTCCCTATAAGCCACGATCCCACTTCTAATCTGCAGACGGTGTCCGAGGCATTTTTTCATTGTACGATGGTCCTGCAACATTGGGCAGACAAAAGCCGTCTGCAGACATGTTCGAAGCACCCATGTGTATAAAGTAAACATGATCCGAACATGCTTGAGGTGTGCTGTCCTTGTGTCAGCAGCGAACATCGCATATTTTGTATGACGCACGAGCAGTGCGCGCTTTAAACGACAGGATGTAAGTGCACCAGTGTTGCCCTGATCCTGTACAGATGACACAGTGGCCATAGACTGCTGCAGGTAAAGGAAAACGGGTCAAGCTCCCCCCAACAGGCTCTTTGCTCGCCACGATTGGCTGTTTCCTCCTCTCTGCTCCCTTCACAGCATTTGCTCTGCTGAAGTGGAGGGCTTTGTGGGAGGGGCTTGTCCCGCCTTCTTGAACCCGCAACAGACTATAGTGATCTCTCCCACATATCCCTTCACCTTCTCCTCCTTGTCTCTGCGCATGGTGAAGATGGCTGGAGACACGAAGCCGGTCGAAGCAAGCTTGTAGAGGCTCGTGGTCTTCTCGATCCGTGCCATCTTCTGCCGCAGCAGCCTGGAATAGTCGTCCAATAAATGCCAGTCAAGATCACAATGTGTGCAACTCACATGTTAACATTAACTTACTGTTACGCTCCTCGTTCGCTGCCAGGAGCTCAGCTCTTTCACCTTTTGTTTAGTTCTGTCACTGCTTCCAGTAACGTGAACCCCTCGGAGCACGTGCACGAAAACGCAACGTTCGTTGTAAGATTTCGTCCAGGTATCAAGTACCGTCGGTGTACTTTATGCTGCACGCTTCCCGACGCTCAACGTTTCTGCGCATGCTAGTGGCTCGAAGCCTTACTTGTACGGTGCTCATTACGAGTAATCAAATGACTTGTAATCAACTAATTTTTAGAGTAATTTCATAATCACTCGAATACATTTATTAGAAAGTAATCACAAGTAGTAACCCAATTACTTTTGAAAACGCTGAAATTACTCGTAACCGTTACTATTTTCCGTCCACTTCCTAACGGCACCCTTTGCTTGTACAAGTTTCCGACCAACGACTCCTGAAACTTAATCTCCAGCGGAAGAAGGGTTTATCGAAATTGGTGAATTAAGAAAGTAACAATTGAAAACGAGCATGTTGGTTAATAGATACAAAACTTGAAAGTATAAAACAGCGAGGACGAGGAGAGGAACAGGACCTCTTTCATTTAGCAACAACATAGAATGGCACAACGATAAAACCGCCCCCCAAAGGTTTCAACGTTCTCAAAGAGAAAAGGAGATGTGTTTTATAAAGAAAAGGGAATTTACTGTAAATATAAAAGTTTAAAAGCGCAAGCATCACGACGAGGTATCACTAATCTAGTTTTCTCCGATTGCTTAGAATTCAACCTTTGTCATTGTCAATGACAATGAAGGTGCAGAAATATTGTTGTTTACAGTCCCAAAGGGAAATGTACTATAAATATAAAAGTTTAAAAAGCTCTAGCGTCAGGGCGAGGGGTCAGTAATCTAGTCATCTCTGGTGTTAGGAATTCGACCTCTGTCTTTGTCAATGATAATGAAGGTGCAGAAACGTTGTTGTTTACAGTCCCCATTGCAAATGATTCAATGATTTCTCTCCCAAATCTGTTGTTGTGCCCACCCAGTATCCTAGTATCAGAGAAATAAAGAGTACAGTCATCGCACGTGCGATGACTGAACTCCTCATTAACAGTAACTAAACCGAATGTGTGCAGACATTGGCACCGTTTGCCGCCAACTTACCCAATCTCCTTCCGGACCGCCGCCAGTTCTTTCTCAGCTGCCTTCTGCTGCTGCTCTTTCTCCTTCTGTTGGACCATGCGGTCCACTGCTCCCATGATGCCGCGCTCGAGGTCCACTTGGTCATACACAGAGATCCCAAGTCCGCGCAGTTCGTCGGCCTGATCTGACTCTGGGATGTTCTGGACTTCGGATGCGCCGTCCAAAAAGGACGGCAGGAAACGCGCGCTTCCATGGTGCTCAGTGCCCAACTCCGCATCCAACGACGGGCTGTCGAGGTCGGCTTGGCTCGTACCCTCAAAGTCCATCTATGCAGAAAAGGAAACATAGTTACCCTACTCCATTCTCAGAAATTGGTTGGTTCTTTCGCTCGTTGAGCGAGCCACGTCAAGCACTCTTGGGCACGCTCCCATGCAGGTTTCGGTTTCGATTTGCTTCGTATCTCAACCAAATGGGCTGTCGATTGTATTTTTACTCGTAGAGCAATATTTTATCTCATAATAATACTTGTCAGTGGCGTGTGAAGAGTTTTGTTTGGGGGACTTCTGTCTCCGTTCGGTCCTTCGTTGTTCCTGATCACAGCATCACCAATGACAGCAAGAATTAATTTTAAGGTAAAGTTTTTTTAGATTTCGGTCAGCCAAGCTGTGTCCCACCAACAGAGAAGATTGGATGACTGCCATGAGGAGAAGTCGGACGGCTTGCCATGGCAGCAGGAGGAGGAACACAGCCGGAACAGCTGGACGCATTTCATCACATTGATTTTGAAACACACTGAGAAGTCTTCTATGCCTTATTTTCAACCGCTTCCCAATTTCAAGCCCAGAAGGTCGAAGCTTTTGGCACTACAGAAGAATTGGTGCGAACCAGTTTGCAAATTGTCAGTTGGTTGGTTGTTCATTTGAGTGTGACAGCAAAAAGTGAAGGCTTTGGTATAATGGCACTAAAACTGGCCCATTATATAACTTTTTTTGTTGTTCTTCTCTATGTGGCAGATTTTAGAGCTCACCAACGCAGTGACAAGGAAAAGATACCTCCTCCCTCTGTCCCAGGCGGGTCGTAGCACGCATCTCGTGTAAAGAAAAATAAATAATTGACTCAAAACACTGGACATTAGAGCAAGCGGTTCATTTCGAAACTTGAGTTAAATATGCTCGTGTTCAGAATACGAAGTTTGTTTGAGGTGCTACAAGGTTCGCAGAGCACACTGTCAGTGCCAGTTCCACTGGTGCTTGAACCTTCGACAATCACTGTATTAGTTAACGGGAAAGAAAAGTGTTTCTCTGACCTCTTTGTAACCTGTTTAAAGATGGATAGTCAGCTGTGTCAAGAGGGGCTGTCATGCCGTTTGTGACAGGGGGGCAGGGGTAGGTTAACTTTGAGAGAACCGATACCTTAGTGTTGGCCTCAATGCTGCTTAGGGTAGGAATGTCCAACTTCAGGGACGGATCGTGTGGAACTTTGGGAACACTGCACTGCAAGGCGGTGCACAGGGCATCAAAGCTTCATTCAACCCAGTGATTCAACCACGCGATCCACACCAGGCGGCCATCATGAAAGTTGCTACTTCAGCCCGTTCACCGTCGCTTCGATCGTTACGCGGAAAGTTCCATGTCTGCGAGATTCCTAACAATTAATGTCACAATACAAGAAACTATAGTTCTCAACGGTTATAAATCACCGATGTTTATTATTTCCAGCCAAAAAATAAATAAAGAATTGGATGCTGAGTGCAACGAGGTTGCCGAGTGCACGGTGGCCGAGTGGTTCAATAATGATGATGATAACTGTATGACCTTCACAAGCTGTTTTGTGTAAAAAACCGCGCAGAGCGGCGTTCATTCAAGCCAAAGGTTCAACATCGTTGCACACACACGTTGATGCGTAATACAGTGACCAATTATTTGCATCGTTTTATTTGTTTGTGGCATTTCCCAACGCCAAAACGCACAAAGGAACACGGCAGCGACCGCTCTCTCCAGAGCAGACTAGAGCACTATATAGCTCCTTCGGAGCAGAGTAGCGCAATCTAGAACGCCGTCTCTCGGCGACAAGCGGCGAACGCCCGGAGGTTCCAACTGCGGTCAGAAATGCATGGAGAACGTGAGAAAATCGTTGTTTCTTCAGTTTTGTGGGGATGTGCGGAATGGAAATTATTTTTGACATAATAATGAAACGTTTTAGAATAATATGCGATAAGTTTTGTGCCATACAAGGACGTAACTTTTTTTTAAAAATTGCCTGAGCGGCATCATGCAGTAGACGACACGGCGACGTCACACCATTCACGTGACCCGCTCCGGCCAACCCGAAAAGCCCATCTCCGCTGCGAGCAAAAATCGTCTGCTTCAAACGCCATTGCCTTGGAAATTGCCTTCTCAAAATTTACACACGCATCCGATATTATTAAAACTTTGATAAAGTGTTTAGCGCTTTACTAACTTCACGACAGGCTAGTTTTGAAAAATGTGAACTCGCCGTTAGTTTTTTAATCAGCCGTGTTATGTCGATCTCCATGTATTCTCCCATAGGGCGGGCCGCCTCCTGGAACCCTGAGTACCACGTGACTCGCGCCGAGCCGCTCTGTCGGCCATGTTGTCGGCAAAACACGGGGTTCAAAGGATTGCGCTACTCTGCTCCGTAGGAGCTATATAGTGCTCTAGAGCAGACGATGCTCGCACGTAAACGAATCGTTGAACTCACGACCAACTCTATTACTTCCGACCACTTCACCCGGCGCGCCTACGGGGAGCGCTGTCCCCGGATGCGGCACGCCTAGTTTCGCGCCACTCTACTAGATGGCGCCACAGCTCAGCTGTAGAGTTCGGGAGCAGAACGAAGGCTGAGCTCTCCGCGCGGCCGCAAATTGTCGATGAACGACTTACTTCCGCCTCATTCTTTTGATAAAAATTTCCTGAACTGAGAGTCTTTCCATCAGAGACCCCTAAAAGAGGCAACGTGCGATTTAATGTACATTTTCGTTCAGCCTGGGCAAAAAATATAGCCACAGATCTATTGGAGATCACTTGAAATTTCCTAAGAACTCGAGGGTTTATGGTACTGAGGAGTTGATGAATTTTCAGCATAAATTTTGTGAAGCAAGGTTAGTTCTAAGCGTGCTTTTATGTTAACTTGATTGGAAATTAAGTGTTGTCTAGTGAACTACTCAAAGTGAATAATAATTACCTTTGCTACTGACGGCCTTTATCCACTCGTCCCTGATCCTTGTGGTGGGAAATTCATAAAAGCCGACTCCCACTTCCTTGCCCCGTTCTCACGTGCAGAACGGTACGCGGCAGTGCGTTTTCAGGTAAGATCGAACAACCATGTCCAGTGGCCATTTTTAATTTTGATGAAAAAAAAATTTATTTTGCTGGCTTTATTATGGCCAGAAGAATAAAACCAATCCTTGTTTTCGGAAGAAAAAAAAATGTCTTTGCGAAAAAGTGACAGGGCTGAATTCTACGCACAACGTCCCAGTCCTTTGCTTTCGATTAGTTTCACTTTCGGCAGTTTAGTGTTCAGTGGGGCAACCATCTCTGACGCCGACTTGATCATGACTTGGTGGGCCGTCGGAGGCTGTACAACGTTGTCTGGAGCTTGACACGACCCTAGATGTAATCACTAGCACTGGTGCCATGTCAAATTGCGGAAAAAATACACCTCGCTGACGTGTATTTGTGGCTCTGCAGCTCATGTAGTTGGTACTTGTTCTTTCTGCACCATCATTTGTGCAGGTCCAATGAGCATACCTGAATTGGATTCCACGATTCTCCAAACCATTGTCTTATAAATTAAGTTACAGACAATCTCATTCAATCGCAATTCTTTCTCTCTCTCTTTTTTTTTTTTTTTTTTTTGTGGATCTTTATTTTCTACGCGTTGTGCGGCCTTCCACGGCAGCGGATCAATTGGCGCCTCACAGGTTCATGTTCTGCCGCGTCCTGCTTCCTATATCATGTTACTGTTAAGGTTGTTGGCTGATCTGTTTGCAAAGTCGCTCTGGTTGCTTCCTTTACGTCGCGTAGACGGAGACGCTATATACCGGCTGTTGAAACAGGCACAGCGAAGCACGTTGGTGGCGCACCTCGATCGCTCGGGCCCATGGGCATTTTTGGGTCGGTTCTACGAAAATGTATTACGAATTTTCCCTTCAAAACTACCGTCCACCTCTGTGCTGTCAATTTGTCTTTTCCTGACCACCCCGTAGCATTTTTACGCTTTTTTTAATACTAATGAAATGGTGAAGAGTGGGTATGGGCACGCCCCATTTATAGCAACCGCGTTAGCGTCAATTTGGCCATGTTTCTCGCTTTACAACTCAAAAGCCACACAAATATTGCATCATGTTTTTTGTACACCCTGTTAGTACATACTATACACTTTAATTTCAGACAGTTTAAATAATATTAATGGTGGTCTTTTTTTAAATGATTTTCAAAATAATGCATTTTTAGTTAAATGCTTCTGTGTGAGCAATTCTTGTAAATTTCTCCCGCTAACCAGGACAACAATATTTCATGCAAAAATTAACTACATACAGGGCAACACACTGGCAAAGTTTGAAGAGGAGAAAAATATTCTATAATCCATAGCGTTATTGCGCAATGTGCCTGCCGTGTTTGCGATTTTTTTTCTCTAAATAACTACCCTAATACTCGGTGATTAATACTTTCTGTCAATTCTTCCTATGCCTAATTTGTCAGTGAATGTTTCTAGGCCCGTAGCCAGAACAGTTCTTTGGGAGAAGCCGCCCGAAATGTCAAAATCGCACGATACGCAAAACGGGACGTGACTGAGGGGGCGCTTACAAATGTTTTTCGCAAATACACTTTTTTTTTTCCTAAAACAAGGATTGGTTTTATTCTTCTGGGCATAAAGCCAGCAAAATATAGTTTTTTCACCGAAATTAAAAATGGTCACCGGACATGGTTCTTCGATCTTATCTGAAATGCCCAGCAGTAGACCATTCTGTCTTTTCTCCTGTGAGCCCGTCTAATACCCCTGTCAGTCGGGAAAGTAAATGTCATTTTGATCGAATGTCATTCACCGCTTGGCAAATCGGCTCTTGATGCTGGCTCTGCATGTGGCGGCTGCACGCGCAGCGTGGCGTATTAAACACGCAAATTGGTTTTTTTAATGTCATTTTGCTTAAATGCCATTTAACGTGCCCATCTGACAGGGGTATTACATTCTTCAATATCTGACCACCGACACGCGATTTCAACTGCCGCAAGCGTAGAAAATAACTTAGCCCAAAAGCAAGAACGAGACAAACCACGCGTAACAAGCTCGGAAATAAGCAAGAACGAACGCTTCCCGAGGCTCCGAGCAATGCTCCGAGGCGCACCAAGTACAGCCAGAGTACAGCTGAGACGGATCGCCATCTCTCGGCAGATGCGCGAATTAGAACGTCGCCAAGGCGCGCGCTGTGGCCTTCGCGGGTGGAGTGGTCGGAAGTAATAGAGTTGGTCGTGGTTGAACTGTCGTCTGCAAATCTAGTTGCCTCTCCAAGCGCGCCAGTCTTGATTATTGTTGCGACTACAAGTGATTTTCCAGTCGCAATTACAGCAGTGTTCTAGGAACAAAGAGATGCTAAAAGAAAGTGAAATCGGCCAGCGCGCAATAACTCTCTGCTTCGCCTTGCACGCTGCCGTGTACGTGCCTGATCTGTGCAAAATAAATCAAATCAAATCAAATCAAACTCCTACGAAGCAATCTGGTGGCTGCAAAACAAATGTCAACGGGAGATCACCGCTACTGGCAGTCAAGCGTCAGCAAGAGGTTAGTAGCACGTCAATGATACCATATATTAGCAGTATTAGCAGCATGCCGGTGCCTCGTAGGAGCATCAAGACGAAGCCAAGTGAAAGCATGTGAGGAAGTACAAAACAAGGGTGACCACCATAGAAGCTAATTTAATTTACTAATTTCCTGGTATGCTCACTGCTGTCGGGTCGATCGGCACGTGGCGTCGGCGACGCCGACGCCGCTCAAGCCGGGAACGGGCCCCCTAAGAGCTGCGCTCTAAAAATGGATGTTTATGGACTTGTTTCAAAACCCGAAGCACCTCATCACGGCGCAATGCCACGGTATGCATTGCGGGAATCAGTGGGAGGCAAAATCCATACGCGCCCCGCTCTTGGCCCACTGGCTCTCGGAATGCAACGCGAGCGGTGACAGATTTGTGGTAGTTTATTGGTTGGCAAACATTATCGCCAATCAAGCCTTCTCTTCAAAAGTTCCAAAGGGCCTCTTTGTGGTGTCAGGGAGTGACGACAGGATAGCAAAACTGGAAAAGGCTGCGAATAAGAACATTGCATCATTGAATTTTAGCAATATTTTATGAGCAATCATCAAAGCCTAGTACTGAAGGCATTGTCTACCTTGTCAAACAACATTGCAATAGCAGGGGCCAAGGAAACGCAGAAAAAGAAAACACTGGCGGCTCGTCACTTTCTGCATTTCTTGGTCTCGGGATTTTGAAATGCTGCAAGTTCAGCGGGCTTGCCCCTAATTTTGGAAATCCCCAATCTATTCAGTGCAGATGAGTCAAATGCACAAATTTCAACCTTACCTGACTGTTCAACTTGTTTCTCACAAACCACACAACACCAACAAGACACAAGTAACTATAATGAACTGACTCATCTCCGTTGCCTTTTTTTTTTATTCCAATACATTCCGCCACACACGCACACGAACCCGTCAGCGACCGATCATCTCAAAACAGACGACAAAAGAAAAAAAAAACAGAAGCCAAAGACAGATTCGTCTCGTCGTCTGCAACTCAGGTCGACTCTCCAAGAATGCGTTAGTCCTGATCAATGTTGCTGGCGTTTATCCACCCACGATTACAACAACGGGGATGTTAAAAGAAGGAAGTGAGACCAGGATGACTCGGCAAAACCTGCGCAAACACGGCCTATTAAAAAAAAGGTCAGTAATGAAGCAGCTTCTCGATTTGGCAAAAACGATGAAGAGGCGTCATGTCTTCTTCCCTAGAGCTCTGCTGATGCTTTCCGCCTTGGCTTTTTTCTCCGCTTCTTTTGCTGCAAATGGGACAAGAAATAGCGTCAAGAATTTTAAACCGAGCTTGTAATTTTGAGGCTGGGAACAGGTTGCCAGCCTGCAGAGAATTAGGAGCTGTTTTAAACAGCTTAGGAATTTTCAAGGCTGGTTCACACATTTGCATTAGAGTGTTCTCGACTACATGGCGTTCCCTCGCAGCTGCCTTTGAGGGAGCACACTGGTGCCACCCATTGGGCACCTGGAACACTTATGATCCGTACAGTCGAGACCGGTTATAAGGAAGCCAACGGGAATTGGAAATCACTTCGCTATATCCGCTATTTCGTTATAACGGACTCCGGTTATAACGAAGTGTTAAAAGGAATATGAAATCGTGATCGCTTCGCCGTAGCCGCTATTTCGTTATAACCGACTTCGTTATAATCGGTCTCAACAGCATATATTTAATGCAGTATTCTTTCACCCTAGGCTAGAAACAATTTTGACAAAGTTATAAGCGACCATTTCTCATAAATAGCCCGTAGATTTGATTATGCAAGTATTGCAAAACATTCAGTCTAATTATATGGAGTTGCAGAGCTACCAGATAGACACAACCAGCATATTCTCTTGTCAGAGAAGCCTTTAGGAAACGTCAAAGAAGCCTTTTGGGAATGTTGGAGAAGCACTTTAGGGAAATTAGCTGCCCAGAAGATTAGCTTCCAATCCCCCAATTCATTCAAGGTTTCGTCATGGCACTTTAGAAATTTCCCAGCAAACTTGAGTACAAGAAAGAAATGAGACATAACCTAAATGACAGTGGTGTGACCCTCTGGCAGCCCAGTGAAAGTTACTCACTGCAGTTTTCATAGCTTGATACCCTTACTTGCATTCATTAAACCAATATCTTTTGACGATGCAAGATTCTCTTTCGCCCTACCTCCCCATTGCATGACCTACTCGTATAAGTTTTGGTCTGGTGACCAGGGAAGAAATGATCATCAGATTGTTCCACTTTTCCCTTAGAATTGAAAATTCCACCATCAAGTATGATTCTCTTGACACCTTTTCTAAACATGCTGTTATGCAGCGCACTGAAGGGAACTTCCTGAAAGCATCAGACTGTGGTAGCCAACGTTTCTGTAAAAGTTAATTACCTTAGCAAAACGTCGGCACATTCAGACAGACCATCGTAGTGGTTTCTCAAGATACAAATGCCTCGGTTCGTGATGTCTAGAGCTCAGAACTCCTACACCATCGAAATACGCAATAGCACAAACAAACACAAAACAATGTACTAACAACAGCCAAACGAAAGGCCCCCCAAGAGCAAAGCCGCAACCATACTCGTCGTTAAAGATCACAAGAACTCGGTCCTAAGCAAATGGAAGTGCGTGAACGGGCCTCCAAGGGATGAGGGAACAGAACTAAAAATTCTCCTTTGAAAACCGGGATCCAAAGAACTGAAACACAAGCGCCTCCTAAACTGGCGTCGCGTCTCGCGAGCTCCCCCAAAAAGGGGGAGGGAAGCTCACCCTTGAGTTCCTCGTCCCTGCGGCGCGCTTGCTCTTCCCGCTGCTTGCGGATCAAGGCCAGACGAGCGAGGTCCGCCCTCGCTTCCTCTGTCTTCCCGGCAGCATGCATCTTCTGGTAGTGGACCTTGGCCTTCTGCTTCTCTACCTCCTCCCTGGACGAACAGAGGTCACAGCCATTCGAGATATGGTTCTCGCCGTGAAAAAGTGACGACACAGGCGAGCTGGTGTCGATATACTGCTTTCTTAAACCACCCGAGACTGGGTGCAGAACAAGAAGAATTCATAGTGGAAGAGAAAGAAACAAAATAACAGCAGGCAACGTCTCAAACTCGGCTGACTTGTTTGTTCGGTGGCATTCTCATATGTACGACATTCTCAAGGTCGCCAAATACCACACCACGTAGAAATACATCCCCAAGTTCAGAACGCAAGCACACACAAAAGACCTGGCATATATCCTAGAACGAGTCATCCTCCACCAAAACAAAAGTACATCTGCTTAAAAAAAACACACACACACAAAGAGAAAGCTTTTAAATACACAAAAGGGTCTGACACTATTTAAACCCTGAGTGTCCCTGCAAATCAGACCATTGAAAGACAAACCACCATCAATATAACAAAAGGACAGTGCTCCTCTTCTACTCTAGTTAACACTAAACCAATTTCTGCAATAGTCTATGGCTATAACTCAACCTATGAGCTCTAAGCATCCTAAAAAGAAAACATTACATTCATGCACCGATGATTTCCTTGTTGAAATCGGTATCAAGAGATAGACACCAGAGGACGCCACTGGACGAGGAGAGCCAAGCCCTGCCCTTTCTCGTGCGACAGCGCCCTCTGGTGCCTGTGATAGTTACAAGGTAATCTATCTTTTGATATTGATTTTAATAAAGAAATTGGAAATGCATGAGTATCATGTTTGTTTTTTAGGATTCTTAGCACCCATAGATTGAATTACAACCATGAATAGACTATCACAGAAAGTGGTTTAGTGCCATCTTTACACAACTACACTAACCCAAACCCCCTGTGCAAACAAAAAAAAAAAGGCATGAAGTTGCTTCTAAAATATACATAACAACGAAGAACCCACCACTATTTGGACCTGGACCGTCATCACAAGCAAAAACAGTGAAAATAAAAACCAATACTTCACTTCCACGATATAGTCTATTCGTTCTCCACCCAGTCTAAGGTGATTTAAAGGATAATTGATAAGAAAAAAAAAGTGTATTTTTAAACAGCCTATTTGGGACAAGCATGTCACAAAACAATTTTTCTGCAAAAAATAATTGTTTACAGCAATATTTATTCCGCGAGACTGATTTTAGTTTGCGGATTTATTGTCTGTTTTAAATCACGCGCCACAAAGCTGGTATTAAACGTAAAGGAGTGGCTGCTATACGTCACGGAGTGACGTATACCAGCCACTCCGCGCGCGTCGAAAGAGCGCGAGTTTCAAATGTGGAGAGGTTGTAACTCCGACTAAATTACGTCCTGTGGCGTAAATATTGCTAAAATAAATTTCGTTTCTTCGCGGAAGATTTGTTTTGTGACATGCTTGTCCCAATTAAACTGTTTAAAAACACACTTCTTTTTTGTTTGCAGTTACCCTTCAAGAAAATGGTACAACAGTTTGTGTGTAGGAACAGCGTCGCTAAGTAGGACGGGCTTTTCCACGTCAATGCGACGTCCTCACCGTTCACGCCTGGACAGCTGTGGCGCCTCCGCAAGGTCCTTCTCATCCAGCTGTGCCACTTTCTTCACCTTCTTCTCCACCCGGTTGGGGTTCTCCACCTCGATGAGATGCTCCACCCCTTTCGCCTTTTGCTGGAGGAAGAGGAACCGGATCTGAAGGCACCGCTTTTTCTAAAAATACCTCACGAGCTTCCCCAATTTCCTTCCTAATAAAAAAAAAAATTTGTTGGCTATTCTTTAGCTCCCTCTTAGTTCCTAATTCAGGCAACTCCAGATTTTGCCCAAAATAAGACATCCTCTATGCTTTTTCACTCAAACTTCCAAACATCTCCCATTCAGGCGATTGCAGGTTTTCCCCAGGATACAACTTCCTCAGTGCTTCTTTCCTAGAACTCAACAAGATCCTCATTTCCTCAACAACCACAGGTCATTCTGGAGGCACTCCTCTCCAAATATTCCCTAGACTCCTCTTGACTTCCTAAAAGTTCCTTCTAAACATTGCCGAATCTTTCCCGGAAAAAGATCTGCCCATTAAATTTCTTCCCCAACTTCTCAGAGTTCCCCACATTTCTACCAAGTCCCTACATTCCCTAAACACATCATTTGTTGGAACAATTCCCTTTTTCTTTTTTTCACCGGTGCCGGATGTTCCCCAACTGGCGCCCAGAAGGACCAAGTGCTGTCAATACTCATCCAGATAGTTAGATGTTTCATACAAGAATGTTCCAGTGTTAGCTTTTCGTTGATTGCTTGTATATAACATTCCGCAGCTCTACAACCAATGTGCAATACCCACAAGGGCCCTCAATGTCTAATAAATGACACAGATGAAAAGTGAAAAGTGTGCGTACCTGCTCCTCCTCGCTAGGTCCCTCCCCTTCGGCGGTCTTGGGCTTCTCGTCCTCTTCCGAGCTCTCCTCCTCGGAGCTGGAACCGTCCTCGGATCCACTCTCGTCATCCCCCTCGCCCCTTTGAGCCTGAAAGAGCAATCGGGCCACGGGTCACGCGACTTGTTTACAACATGGATCGGCTGGGACGGCAGTGGCGTCCACTGTAGTCGATTGTGAGGCGAAACAGAGTATACACCTTTCCACCAGGCGAAAAATGCCGAGTCATCGGACTGGGGTCCCATGCGCGGCGTCCTATGTTCCACACTAGAGAGGCATTGCGCACGCTCAGAAGGCAAACTGCAGTCCAGTAACCAAAGATGGTGGTGTGCAAGTTTGTCTGCTTTCATTGCAGGGGTTGTGGTGATGTCAGAATGCCGAGCTGTGATTGGCTCTGATTGAAGGATAGTGGGTAGACCTCAAAGCAAGCTGCCTTAAGGTCTACCCCACTATCCTTCAGCCACAGCCAATCATAGCTCGGCGTTCTGACGTCACCACAACCCCTGCAAAAGAAGCAGACAAACTTGCGCTCCACATAAACTGCATAGATATAATATAATCTAGAGGGAAAGGTAGTCGCATTTCGACCACTTCTGAATGGCGGTGCAGAGACGCGGGTGTTGGGTGGTGCCAAAGGGACCGTACTGCTGGCGACGCTTCAATATACACGAAGAAGCAGGAGAACATCACTCACAAGGTCTGTATTTAACGTGTTTCAAGCTCTGTTATGCACAAAAGTGCTGGCATGACATTGTGTAAAATAAAATAAAGTTGAGGAGAAGCGAGAGAACACCGATGTCAACTCGTGATTTGCGGCATTCTGCTCCCGCCTTTACCACCACCTATAGGCTACTACAACAATGGCTTGTGGGGTACGACACAGGGACCCCCGAAGGTTGTACGAGCCCTACCTTCCACTGGCGGGTCCTCTCTTCCTTTTGCTTCTCGCGTTCGAGCTCCTCCAAGTTGGTGAAATGCCTACGCTGACCCTTGTGACCACCGCCCCCACGGCTGCTGCCCCGACCTGCACAAATCAATCAATCAATCGATAGATTGGCCAGTGTAACATGTGTTCTAACACTTTTAAGGCAAACAAAGTGGTGACAATCAAAAATAGCCTCGGATTCCCACCAATGACAGACAATGACTGGCAATAAAAATATTTGTTCTACAAGCACGACACGATCTGGACATAACGACCTGCAGAATTCGAGCAAAACAAATGTCATCGACATGAAACCCGCTCTCTCGCAAATACGTACTCCCTTCGCAACGAACGTCGTAAACGTTACATGGCTATGTCGCAATCAAAATTAAATTTATCTCAACTTACCCGAGTACTAGTGTGGCTGGCTAACTGTGACAAGCACACTCCCAACAAAATATTATACTCGGTTACAAAGCGCGGATGAAGCGAACGCTTGTGAACGATTACAAACGACATATGCCTGGATGAATGCCTGGCGGGCTTAGTCGTGCCGCCAGCGTTGCAACAGAAGATGCGTGTTTCCGCGGACAGCCTAGAGCCTAGCAGTATTTAGTGGTTTTTTTGTGTTGTTGTTTTTTGTATCAGTTACCTTACAGCTTACGCGTTGAAATTATATGGGACCGCGTTTGAAGAGGACCATTGTAACGGATAGGCGCCGAAAGCGTGTGGAGCTGCGTGGTGATGGAATGTCGTCGTGGCTGGACTTACCTCTTCCCCTGGGAGGCATTTTCAGAGTTACCTGGGTGCCTCGAAAAGATTAAAATGGTATTACGAATCGAGATTAATCTCTAGGCTTATAGCGCTAAGGTAACAGAAAATGCTCGCCCGAGAACCTCAGTCGCTTGCACGGAACTATGGCGGCGGACAGGGTGAATATTACAGGACGGTTCAAAGCAATCGAAAATTGGTCAGCACCGTATTCCCAGAGGGCGCTAGTTTCTGATTCCTTTATTTGAGAAATCTTTTCTCTTTTCTTTTTTCCTTTTTTTTTTCTTTTTTTGAAAAAATTGACATTTGTTGGTTACTGTTTGAAGAAGTGTCTTAAAAATAAACTATGTACCAACAAACTTTGAATATGGAACTTTCGCGCTTTATTTTCTTTGTTTTTCCTTGAGTGCACGCAACGTTAAAGGGATACTCCAACGAAATTTCGGCGCTCATTTTTTGGCCTATATGTGTTCAAAGGAGCAGTATCACATCGAACACACCAATATCTTCTTTAAAAAAAAGTCACGAAAAGGAATTTTAAAACGAATTAAAAGATTAGCAAAGAGCACCTGGTGGATGTCGCTAACGCCTCCTTTGTAATGCCCGTCTAGGAACCTTGAGAGGTAGTGACGGTACCACGACGAGAGAAGAGGGGAAAAAGGAACTCCCCACTTCCCAAAAATCTCTTTTGTGTGCCCCAGAAGTCGCTATTGTCCCTCTACATGATTATAGAAGATTAAAATGTCACTCGAAATTCGTACAAAAGCAGCCGCTTTGGTGGCTGGAACGACTAGGCCATCCTCTCGACGTCAGCCTCGCCGTAGCTTTGCTCGTCCCGAGACGAACTACGTCACGATTGCGTTGGATGTCACGTGCTCTCCGCTGGCTGTTCATTGAGCGCTTGCCAGTGTGGGCCGTTTATAACGAAAAATATAGCCACCAGGCTCAAAATACAAACGTGGGATTGTCATTTACGGATATTGTGGATCATATTCAACCTACTTTTGAACACGGCTGGTATATTTGAAATTTCGTTGAAGTATCGACACAACCTATTGTTCTTGTGACTTCGTGCGCTTGAAAGTGCAAGGGTGCAAGCACAAACATGAGCATTTTGGTAAACCCAAGGGGGTATCGGTGGCTGAATGGGCTAGCGCCACCGGGTTTAGCATGTGGAGCGAAAGCTCGCGCTGCAGAACCCATGGAATCCTGGGTTCAATCCCCACTTCTGCCTGTTTCGATCTGGATGAGCATCGTACCGGCGTGCGGTCCTGAATCACTACTGCGTAGTGCACAAGGTTAGCGGTTGTACCGCGCTGGCTAAATTGCTCATCTACAGCTGAGACACCAGACGCCCACTGAGGCAGTCTAACGTCCGGCTGTATAAACATACACACAATAATTTTTTGCTTTGCTTGGTAAACCCAAGACTGGAGAAACAAAGACAAGGACGAAAACTCAACTGAAACAACCTAGTGTTAAAACGCAGCTAAAAACACTTTATTTCACAAACAGCAGGGGCTCCGGAACCACTGCCCCCCGCCCCCTTCCCGGTTCCGGACACCCTGACAGACAGATAAATATGCCACCCGCCACCTACGGTTTTGCTCCTTCCAGCACTTCCCCTCTTCCTTTATCCCTTCTTCCCTCAAACCTTGTACGATCCAAGTTCGCCTAAGGCAGGAAATACCACCGCCTCTCCAACAAGGGACGAAACAGATTCTCGCGTCAACAACGCTCAGATATCGAAGGTCAAACCGGCTCCGCCGTATCTGCCTCCCTCGGCGCTTACTTGCAACGACGCTTGACTACACCGTTCGCTGAGTCACTGACACCGTCAATGTACTGCAATAGAGATCAGTGTACACTGTAACTTGACTAATGCCGTTGCCAGACGTCCTAATCCTTAGCGTCTAATCCTCACTTTTTTGAGGCCGGGGAACGGTTTGTACATTCGCTTAGGTGCTTAGATATTTCTGAAGGAGGTTAGCTGATTTTTACATTTATTTTGTGCTCTGTCAATCTCTTATTGGCACACCTTTTGGTTTGGCCTACATAGCTGAACCCACACTTCAACCGCACCTCGTACACCACCCCGATATCGCACAAAATCGATCTATCCCTCTGCCTTTTTCTTTTTTTTCATTGATCCGGGGTTTCTGAAAAAGGAGTCAAGCGATCCAATCTAAAATATCTCTCAAAAACCAGGTTGGCACCAAACTTCTTCGCACATGCCTTTGGGTAATGTGATCTCATGGTGATAAGGAATAAGCACTCTACTGTCCTTCCGTGGCTCCGGAGATCGATATTCCTTAGTTCCCGTATGTTCCCCTCAATAGTGTAGACAGAAATGTTTTCTTTTTTGTATTTTTGAGGGGAGGGAGGGGGGGCTGAGGGGACTGGGATGTTCATGACTTGGGGTGCAGAGGGGGGGGGGGGGGATGCATGTGCATATCATAGGGTCGGCTGTATATCGGGAAAGGGGGGGGGGGGGCGAGGTGGGGGGCTGGAGTCCCATCAACCTCCCCCCTGACTACGCCACTGGTTCCCATCACAAGTTTCTTTAATCTCTCCGGCTATGAAATCGTGTAAAAAAACGCTCTCGTTAAGGCACGTTCACACAGTTGCGACTTCTTAAGGGCACTGACACATCAAAATCATATTTTTTTTTATTTTCCGAAACGGTCGAAAACGATGCCGGGACATTACCCTCAAAATTTGAAATTTGGGAATTCAGTATTCGTGAAGTAAAAAAACAATTTCCAAATGCCGAATTCGAAGTTCCCGCGCGATCGGCGCCGGTGCCTTGACGTCAAAAATTGCGGAGACCTGAGAGTCCCCTTTCCTGTCACCACTCCCTGCTGTTGCCATGGCGACCCAAAGCGAGGAGGAAAGGAGCGAGCGCCGGCTAGCACCGGCGTTGCGGCGGACCGGTTTTGAGCGGTGTCGCCTGTTTTCCGTTGGAGGATACAAATCCAGGAGACGGCACCACAACGAACTCCCGATTTTTGGTATTTCAAAAAGAAGGGCCGTAGTGCGTTCGCAATTGCGTTAAAAAACATGTTTTAGGATTGCCGTCATTAAATGTTATAAAGATGCCGCCTACAAAGCTTCTAAATTTCCTGATTTTTGACGTCACCGATCAAAAGAAGCGAGGAGGCGAGAGGCGGGAAAATCAAACGCCAAAAATAAAAAGGCGCGCGTGCGCGCGGGAAAATTTTTTTTCGCGATGCGGTTTTTTTCGCGTGTCCATGGCTGCAACTTGCATCGTTTTAGACAATAAAAATAAATACGACCTTTGGGGTGTCAGTGCCCCTTTAACACCGAGTGCCTTGAAACCTCCTAAAATCTCTTACGACGAGAGGACACACTGGCACCACATATCGGGTAGCAGAGGAACAATGGGCCGTCCCGTATATTTTCAATTTTTTTTTTGCGCCTCATTCTTTCTTTTTTGACTCGAAAGAACTTTTGTCACTGTTATAGACGAACATTTCGCACAAGTAGTACGCCCATTTGACCTCGCAAATACCGCCAAACCTTCGCTCTAGTGAAATGTAGTTCCAAGGTCACCGCAGAGATGGCGCCAGCGTGTCGGTGTGTTCTCCCGTCGTAAGAGATTTTAAAAGGTTTTAGGGCTCTTGGATCTAAGGAGTCGCAAGTGTGTGAACGGGCCTTTATTCGACCCAACTGATTGCCTACGGCGTTGCCGATCGGCAATCGTATAATGCCGCATTTAAGTTTTTGAGTGGCAATTCAAGCGCGGGAGGCTAGGTTCCGGCCTCAGCTTTCCGTATTTCCAGCATAATCCATCTGTGGCGTGAATCTGTAGGTCTAGAAACTGTAGGTTGCCATCTTTTGCCCTTTGGACAGTGAACTCCAACTCTGGCGCGGCATTCCTGACTGCTAGCTCCAGATCTTTTTCTAACTCTTCCTGAATGGTGCCAACCAAAATGTCATCAACGTGACGCCAGACGAAGCCCACCATTTCAGATATATCTCCACAAGAAAATCCAAAACCCTCGAATCTGAATGTTCAAACAAGTCTCCAATAAAATCGACGCTACAGCTGAGACAATACACACACCCTCTTTTTGCAAAAACTTACGTCCACTATACTCAACTACCGTCGATTGCAAATAGAAGTCTAGAATGTCCAGAGAACTGTCAACCAAAATTCCTGCCCCGGACTGCAACTTGACAAGAGTTTGCTCCACCTGTTCTTTGACTCGTTTCATTGGGATTCTCTTCCCCAAGGGTTCTTGATGCCCATAGAAAACACCAACCGATGCCCGCCATGCATGGTGTGCCCCCAAAGATTCGATCAGTTCCTCCGTATTCCCGAACGACAAAATGCTCTCCAAAAACATAACCGGAAAACAGTTCTGTCTAAACTCCTGCACGAACTTTTGCCAAGTTCCGCCCTCGTCGATCACGGCTCGTAACCTTTTAAGAAAAATTTAATACTCAACTTTAAACGGCGAGCACCTTTCATTCTGCCTCCCATTTGGCAAATTCAGCCTCCATGAGTTCTTTGCAAATCATTCCCTTGCACACTTGTGACGTTTTGATCACTTTCAGTGAAAAGGTCTTCCACTGTGCACTCTGTTTTTTTCTGAATATGGGGTCAGGAAGAAAAGCAAAACTTCCTGTCTTATCCGTCAAGAGATGCTGTAAAGACTAAGTTTCTCAACTCCTTTTCAACCCTACGTAGTATTGTACATCCCGAAAGTTCCTTTTCTCCAGTGGGTAATCCTCTTTCATTAGGTTTTTCATGCGTTCCTGTGCCTGACCAACAAAAGCATGGTCGCTCGTCAACATCAATCTTCTCTGCCTTGCCGCCACTCTTTAATTTACTTGCCGCCACTCTTTAACAGGAAAGACGAATAGTGTTGCACTGACCCCCCCCCACCCCCTTTCTTTTTGTGGAAGGCTTTTTAAGGAAGGCCTCTAAATGAAAGAATGAACTGTTATGCCTGTACGAGGGATGTTTTCTTTATGAAATATTCCGCACTCGGCGGTTACTTTAATTTGGTGCTGGACTTAGAAAGTCCAGCACCAACATGAAACGGTTTCGCTTGCTCCGCTTTAAAGTCAGTGAAACCGCTTGATGTTGGTATCAATTGTATGGGGACTAGAAGTGAACATCCCCCTATTTCATTTTATACTTTAGTAGAACTCTAAGCAGATCTCTGAGAAAACCGAGAATTCGAATTGGTTGCTTGAATGTATAGTCAGTTTGCCAAGAAGATGAAGCTACCTGTCGCTCCGCTATAGCGAAAACAATTTGGTCGATGTATTTCGTTGGTGACGACGACACGGTTCTTTCTCTTTGGAATTTTCCGGGCTCAAGCTTGATTCGCCCAAGCGTAAGAAGGGTTGACACTTTCTGCATCAGTCCACCTGTCTGCATGGGCGGCATCAGAGCTAATCCAAGACTTCATTTTGTTCCTGCAAAGTGTGCTTCGTCATGCCTTTTGGTCATCGCTATACGTGTAGAGGTACAGTGCCTGGAATGCGTATCGGACTGATGTGTTTACCGCGTTCCCCAAGAAGTGGTTCCTCGACTTCCGCCTGATGACGTCATAGAAGTCTTATGTCGCCGGTCACGAACCTAGCGGTATCACAGCATGCGGTGGTGGACATGGCGGACGCCTGTTCTGCTGCAGGTCTTTCTCCAACTTGACAGTACACGGAAGTTACAGCAGCCAGGAACTGGGAGACCCCCGACGACAGCGACATAGATAGCCTATGTAACAGAGTGTGTCCAACTGTTCAATCGAGGTCACGTGGTTGGTAAGCGCGTCTGCAATACGAGGTGCGAGGAGGTGCCAAAAGCCTCGATCGTCTGCAAACGCCTCCGCCTTTGACGTCACACCGGCTCCTGTGACGTCATTTGTGTGTATGGGCGAGATTAAAGTCAGTGGATACTGGAAAAGTAGCGCCAAGCTCCCCGCCGTATGCGGTCGCCATTTTGGTTCATGGAATGAGCACATTCTCTTCGACCTCTCTGTTCTCGGTGAGCCAATTAAATTCGCTGGAGACGGATGGCTTTATAGAGGCGTTTCTGCTATACCGAGATGTTGCTGTCCACACACCGGCGAGACAAGCGTACATCTTCGTGCTGCCACAACATGTGGTGTTGATGCTCGAGGACATTGAAACATAATTTCCCTGTCTTGAAATACCCTATTTGCTCGAGGGATAGCTGCACTTCTTATGAACAAGGCCCTGGCGCCTACTTTCCTGCAGAGCACATGTACAGCCAATCATCGCGTTCTGCGTAAAAAAAACGCAGCGAATAACAAGGTCGAGAACAGGATTCTCGGTAAAAATGCGATCGGAGCAGATAGCAATTTCGCGTGAAGGCGTAATCTCTGCCTCGTAAATCGCTGCGATTTTTCTGCCGATCGCGGTGATTCACTATCCCGTGCTCTGCGGAGAAGCAGACGCACAGGCCTTGCTCATAAGTGCGGTTATTATTCGTACAAACGGTACGTAAGAAAAGCAATATAATTGTAAGATATCTGTGGAGATAGCATAATTGTTAAGTTGATTGCATACACTGTGTCAAAGACGCTTACATTGACGAGGAACTCTTTCAGTTTCAGAGATCTTGGCACTTCTAGTTTTGTAAAAGCCCTTTCAAGCTTCGAAGATTTAAAAGGGCCAAAATGGCGATTGCCATGGCAACAAAGACCGAAGTTATGGTAGTCTGTATGTTTAGAATCACACTGAACATCTGTTCAGAATCACACTGACAGAGAGCGCCCAGATCGCTGTACCGCGCCGTACCTTTTGAGGTTCTCCAACTGCTCGCTGGCTGGCGCCACCGTCGATCCGTCGAGTAAGCACGCAGGGACCTCTTTATTTCAAAGCATTTTTATTTTACTTCCCCGTAAGAGCGGGCCCTTTGCCCCTCCCATCTACGGAAAAGGATTTTATTTCTTTTTTTGTCGCACCAACTGGGGTAAGGATGGTGTATGATACATTAAAATAGATATCTCGTATTCAAAGAACAGCAGTGGTGATATTATAGTACACATGTATACTGGTTAGGCGGTCGTCACGCGACAACCGAGTTGTTTTTTGTGTGTTTTATTTCCTAGGGCGGGATCCACGCACACGACACAGTCACGCATCTTCACAAAAAAAAAAAAAAAAAAAATCTACGTATACATTGCAGCCATAAGCATATGGGCCCGTTACATTGTTGTTTTCGCACTGTCTATTTATACTTCTAAAGGGCTACTTCAAGTGTCACGTATCTTAATGTTTATGTAACCTCGCGAAAGAAGTCAAGGTTGGTAACACGTGAAAAAAAAACAAAAAACATCTGTTTCGCCTAAAATGGTGTCATGGCGTCGCCAGTAAGACTGAGCACATATCTGGGTGCGTCGTGTGTGTCTTTTGCAGTATTTTGGTAATCTTCACAGCCTCCTGTACGGTCACGTGCCAGCTTAAAAAACGCAGGGCGTGGCAATGTCCCGAGCGAGCATTCCCATTGGCTGCTCAGCAGCCAGCCAATGAGGATGCAGCATTGGCCGGCAAGACCGCCCAAGTTGTCTATCAATCGCGAAGCGAGAAGCCTGTTTTCGGGGTTTATTTTTCTTCAATATCGGGGGTGCTTTTTCGGAGTTCATTTTTTTCCCACAGATTCGGTGGTTTTGAGTGTCAATATTCGGAGTCAGAAAAAAAAAAAAAAATCGGCGTTTATCGGGATTTACGTTTCAGAAAATAAGACACGGGAATGGGATTTCCCAACCTTCGGAGAACATAGGTCACGTTATGAATACTTAGAGAGAACGTGTTTATGCCGTAAAGAAATGAAAATGGGATAGGCGATGTGGTTTCGAAGAATGAAACAGCCTCACGGACAGTTCTGTGGGGGTTCTACTTAGGGTTAACGTAAAATGAAACTAAACACTAATTTTTCTTCCTCGTAGCTCTGACTTTTCTCAGTCGATGACGGCCCCAATTCATAAATTTTTCATTTTCCCCGAGTTCCATAAAACCGTTACGGGGGTTCATTTTCGGTATTTATCGGTATTTGCCGAAAGCAAGAAACCCTAATATAAGCCATACCCTGCGTTTTTTCAGGCTCTCGGTGACGATACACTCGAACTAACTCAGTGTATCCACTTTCTCGCAAATCAAACGGGACAGCCAATCGCTGCAACTCACGGAGGCAACTCGCCGAATGGGGAGACTGAAAATACCTTTAGACCCTGAAAACAGTCTCTGCGCTGTAACACGGAACATGACCTAGGCACGCGAAATGTGCTTAAGACATATTTTTCAGCCTTGAGCAAGGAAACCAGCCTTGAAGGTTGCTTTCCTTGCTCGGATTGTGTACATACCTAGGGTTCCGTGTTTTCGAATAAACCTGGAGAGAAAAAAAAATCTCTAAATCCCTCGCCGGTAAATTGTCCATCAAATCCGATTTACCCGTAAAACTCATACTTTAGAAATCACAACGACCAAAAAAAAAAAAAAAAACACTTTATAAAAGCACAGGGTTAGTGGTACTGAGGAAATGCCACTTCATTTTCATTGGAAGTCTCGAACTACTGACAAAAGGATTTTGCCTCTTAGCTCGTCAAGGTCCCTTCGGAACAACGGGTCATGGTACCCGGATTTTTGTTTTTTTAATAATTGGGAACTTAGTAAATTAAACTTTCAATTTTAAAGAATGAGAAATTCAAGACAAGTAAACTCCAATAAACACCGAATTTTCAGAGAAAAATGAAGTTCGAAAACAAAAACCCTCCGAATTTCACGAGAAATAAACTCCGAAAACGCGGAATCCTATTCATACTCCATGGGAAAGCTTTTTTGTTCGGAAACTGCGCCTTTGCAATCTATCGATTCAAATGAAGGTGTCCACTTTTCGTTTTTTTTTTTATTGGTCAGCTCGTTTACTAAGAATTGTGCGTTTCATTTCTAAGATGTAATGTTTTGCTCGTTATAGAGCGACGGTTCGAAAAGTATATGTTACTTCGGCTTTTACCGACTCCCGAGTCTCGCTCGAGCTTAGAACGAAGATTGAGCATCTCGCACATGGCACGCGCGGGTAGAATAGATATCACTTCAAGTAGCCCTTTAAAATTAAAGACACGATTAGAAAAAATAAGGGAGGGGGGGTCTAAAAATATTCAGGAAAAGTAATCAGCCGACGGGTCTTATCACACACCCTGAGCTGTAACGGAACCAACGACTTCAAATGACTAGCTAAGTGTGAATAAAACATGCACGTTATAATATGCAAATGAGTTCGTTCAAGCGCGCTGTAAAGCTGCAGGAAATGCATCGAGGAATATCCCCGCAAGTGCGTTTCTCCGTTGCACTTTGGTTTTCTTTGTTTCACACCGAAATTAGCTTTGAAACATGATTTCACTATTAACAAGCTAAGATTTCTAATAATAAAAATAACTAACTTTGCTTTTGCATGTCAAAACGTTGTAAAAGGTTTTTCACAACGTATCTGATGTTCAAAAATGTTTTCTCGTATATTAACATTCTATTGAATTCTTAATTTTTTACTTTAGAGCGCAAAATTAAACAGTGTTCAAAGGCTTACAGTTGAGTTAACATCCGAGGAAAATATAACATTAATGGCTTCTATTATGGCACCAATAAAGAAAAGGGCTAAAGCCGGGATCACATTAATTATTCTATTGATGTTTCAATGCTGCATATAACTAAGGAGAGACACATTACTGGAGCTTCTAGTTCCTCACTGGTAGAAACTAACAAACCACTAATTAGCATAGCCTACTAATAAAGCATTATAAACTAAAGACATTAAAGAATTTGTTTTGGAAAACAGCTAAGTAGATTTGTTTTTAATAGCATGCTCCTACAGTACGCTTGAGAATTGTATGTTGCTCAGCAGCCTCACTGCGTGTGGGCAGGGTTCGACGATCACATCTTAAGCGATTCATAAAACACTTGAACTCACACACATTCACACACACTTTGGACACACATTAGTTCATTCATGCCGAGGTGACATTCACAATACATCTTGTTCCCAGGTAGCTATGTACAACGTCGTCAGAATACCACAGCGTAGTCACGCCATTGGAACAATCTTCTCGCCTATGTACACTAGTCGTACCTCCACTCACTTGTCTGTAGAATACTCGTATTGACACAGAAGTGTTCGCATGTTGCACATCGCAAACAAACGTAATTCTTTGACGTCAGCATTTGTAAGTGTTCACTTGTGATAAAGTCGATGCAATTTCCCAGAAAGACGCAACATGTTTTTTTTTTTTTTTTTTCTCAAGTCCCTTTTAGATGATGTTCATTAGTTTGCAACTGTTAATATAACAAAAACAAAGCTTACGCAAATAGTAACAAAACAAATTGATAAATAACAGGATATTGAAAAATCTCAGCTACTATGAAACGCTGACGAATGCTGACAAATGAAAATCTTATTGAATAAGTCTGTATGCTCTAAACTGGAGGCCTGTAAATATGTTACAAAAAAAAAATTGTATAAAACTAACTCTAATAAAGGGGAGTTTGCAGTTATCAGTCGTTGTGACCTTGCCTACAAGTTTGAATTACAATCGGCAGTTTTTTAACCGAGTGAGAACAGTTGACATAATCTGTCGCTAAACAAGGTAGCCATAGTGAAAGCCTCCGAAACGCAAAATGCTGGGCGAATAACAATCGATTTTTGAATTGCTGGTACACGTTTTGCTTGTTGCACTGCTATAATGCGCAAATGCCATGAAATAATGCATGTTAATTAATCTGTCAAGTCGCTGCCGCTAGCATGGTACTTGTCACCATTTGTTTGAAAAAAAAATTATGTGATGATTCTGGCTAAGGAAATTTTTGTTAACTTTTAAACTGGAGGTTAGCAGCTAGCACCTCCTTCAACGGAGTACCTAACTAAGATAGAAATAATGCACTATCGCAGTTCCCCATATGAAACATATTTACGACTAAATGCTAGGAGCGAGTAGTTATTGCAGAAAATGACTCAATCTTTCTGACATTGCAGTTCTGTGATCTTATGGGGACTTCGTCATTTTTCTTTTTGTATCTGGGAGAAACGTATGATCCGTGATTTTGATGTTTATCCTCTTAAAATTACACGGCGCAAACGCATATCATTTCGCTTAAATGAAGGAAGTCTAAATCATAAAATAAACCACGAAATAACTTCAGAGAAGAAACTTCAGGTCTGTAAAAAGATCCAGTTAAGTGCGAGCCTTGACTGCTCACTTTTGCGTTTCAAGCACTGTGTGGGTTTAGAATGCAACACGAAGTTCCCTGTACCTTATCTATAGACAGCCGCTGAAGTCGTAAAATACTGCAGTGAGAACACCGCAAGACGCAACACTTCCTAGAACCTTGAAGGTCGCTTTCCTTGCTTGGTCAGTCATCGAAGGTTTTGCGGTCCCGGAAAAAAAAAAAAAAAAGAAAACGCTCGCTTCGTTGTCCGTATGCACAGATTCTTGTATTGTCCGGTTGTCCTTATGCACAGATTCTTGTATCGTTATGCTTGTCCTTATACACATATTCACAATGGTGCTGGGCGCTGACTTGCGAAACTGGTGGAGTGTCATCCTGCCTGGCCCAGAGAGAGAGAGAGGGTGGGTGCCAAACCTGGAACAGAAAAATGATTTTTTATATAATTTATTTGCTACGTATTTATTCAATACATTCAGATCAGAAAGTCGTTGAGATTAGCACAAACGAGATAAGCCGGGACGTAGGATAAATGTGAAATTACAAGCGGATTTAATGTAACAACCGAAAAAGAAAACAAAAACAAAAAGGCCAACTTTCTGGGCCGGACATTTTGTGGAATAAAATTTTTTTCAAGGAAATATCAAAATTATAATTTATTTGCGCTCTATCATACATTACAGTCCTTGAGAAAATTACGATCTCCTGTAAAAAAAAAAAAATCAGAAATTGATGATTTTGTGAATGTAACCTATTGGATTCAATTCAAATATATTTGTAAAGTACCGGAATAAAAACTATACGCATCCAAAAGTTTAATTACTGCATATATTGACATTTTATGACTGTCATCTAAAATATTCTCCGGGAACATTCCGATGTCTCTTGTTGTTCAGTTGAAATTCTCATTTTAGTGCGTGCTCCGAGGTGTTGATGTCCAAGAAAGTTGGGTATGAATATGAAACAGGGCCTCCCTCGTTGCAATTATTCAAATGTAAATTAAGGAAGCTCTTAGACGCGTACTTTCCTGGTTTAGATGACTTAGGTGCTTTGAAATAAACCATTAATATATTAATACAGGTGAAAGGTATCCAATATCAACTAAAAATGTAGAAAACAATTTTTTTTTTCTTGTGGAATTGGTATTTTTCCTTTCGAAGTTACATTTAATCTCGCTGAAGGTGGGCTCCAAATTTGTTCATACGTTTACATCTTATTAAAGGGTATATAACAAAATATGCGCTTATAATAGAAAAGCACACAAAGAACGTACGAAAACAAAAAAAGGATGAAACAAGAGGATTCGTGACAAATTTTGCTTTACTTTCACCTCTTATTATAATTATTTTAAAAACCTATAGCGAGATTTTTTTCCTAGTCCTAAACAAACAAAAGGGCACTGAAAGCTTCAAATAAACCATAATAGGCCAGGCACAGTATACTCGAAACAAACAGTTTTTTTTTTTTTTTTTTTTTTTAATTTAAATCAGAAAAAGAAAGAGGAAGAGCTTGAGATAGATGGAAACAGAAAGTGACGTTTGAGTCGAACTCGGACATGTACACATTGGTGAAATAAAGTAACTAAATACCGTCACTCCTTCCTCAAAAATGTACTAAGCACTTTACTGGTTAACGTCATTTAAAGGGAACGTCTTGCCTCAGCTGTAAATAACGCGTTATGATCTCGTTACTTTTGTACGTGTCGCATTTACGAAGCAGTATAGCCGCTTCCAATAGTTGTCGTCCCTAATAATTCCTCGCTTCTTAAAGCGTCCATTTAGGGATAACTTTGGTTCTCCCGACATACCTTGTGCACATTCTTTTATGGTCTACCTAGCGTTTTCTCGTGGCGCAAATTGCAGAGGCGAGCTGGGGTACACTACTAGGTTAAGAACTTGTGTTGTACACGTTCCCCTCCAAAAGTAACTAAATACCGCTACACGTTACTTCGTCAGACATTACCGAACATACCTTACTCGTTCTTTCTCTTACAAAAGTTACTACATACATCGCACAAGTAACGCGTCATTCATAACGCTTTGCGTACGAATCTGGTCGAACTCGGCACGGGCGGCGACAAGGACAGGAACATCACGTGCGCGACTTCAGTCTCCGGATGGATGGATAAATGAACACGACTGACCGCTTTGAATGGGGCGGTGGCGAGCGCCACCTACCGTGGGCAACGCCAACGTCGTCTCGTGTTTTTTTTTTTTTTTTTCTATTGTTTTTTGGGTGGCGAGGAATAATCCGGGCGCACTATGACTTGGTCTCCGTTGTTGGCCAGTGAAAATCTGTTGTGAGGTGCAGCTTTAAAAGTAAACCGCGAGAAATGAATGTGTAACGACCGCCCGAACTGACGTTCCACCACTAGATTATGCGGGCTTGCGTAAGTTTAGCGAGCCGTAGCCTCACCCGACACCATGAGGCACGTGATTCATAAGGTGGTACCTATCACGAGACCCATATTGACACAAATCACGTGACTGCCGTACGACGATTTGGTCAAGTTTGACCAAACTGCTGCACTCTGTTTTCTGACGTCATAAATTCGTTCTGAGTATTTATTTAGTAGGGTTACGCGAACACCGGACAAAATGAATCGAAATAAATATCGAAATAAAGCTTCGAATGAGACTGCCAGGGAAGTATTAGAATCACATGAAATAAATAAGCCGGGGGAAACAACTTCGTAAGCAAAACTTCTGTTTACTTGCATCAAAAAAAAAAAAATAGATAGCCTACTCGGACGTGTGTTGAAACAATGGTGATTTGGTTGTTTACTTCATAGGGTTCCTTTCAATAATTCTGCGGTTGTCAGTTCAGCGCCCGCTCTGTGCACTTCTCTCTTCTCCCCCTTGTTTTGACCGCTGTTTGATGTACTGCTAGGGGCGACACCGTCCTATTCGACTGGAACCGGCCGCATCTCTAATGTACAGTGAAACTAAGAAAATCGTTCGATGACTCCTTCAGGTCCGACACTCCTTGGCAACGAGCTGCGCCATTAAATGAGTTATATAAGACGTCCCGGCGACGTTGAAACAACGTCACGGACGGGCGTTTTTTTTTTTTGTTTTTTTTTTTAGCTTGGAAGTGAACGTGCGTTTTAAACTCGGCATCGCGTTCTAGAACGGCCCGCGTGCACGCAGGGAAACCACGGGGAGCTCGCCGTGAATGGAACCGAAGCACGCCATAGCTCCGTTATACGCGTGCGCACCGCGAAAGAGAAGCTACAAAGAATTCGAAACCGGAACAAGTGCAAAGCGGAAGCTGAACGCTGCTGCCCGATGGAAAATGAAAGATGGCTATCGTTTTGTAACTCGATTTCGGCAATCTGGAACGTGGCGCCGACTGCGACCGAGCGTTTAAACAACTAGATAAAAGAGAAAAAAGACAAATCAGAAGAAACTAGGAGAAACGAGCTTCTGCGTGAGCTTCCGGTCTGCCGACGCCCAACTTGTGTTTTATTACATTCTTTCGTCGTCTCTAATTACCCAAGCGTCGTGAGATGGATTTTTCAGTAAGAGTAGAACATTGTATTTAACCAACTGACGGGATGGAAACATCGGGGCGTCTCTTTCGGATGACTCCTGCACAAGCTCCTTGCCCTCTTTCGTGCTTCCTTTGGCTGCACGCGCACGCTCGAGGTTCGCCAGACGTCGAAACGCTAGAGGTGAAAAAACCGAAGGGCCTCGCTGCCGATCTCATGCGCTCAATGACTGTAAAACGTATTCACTGGACGCCATATTGGAGTGCGCTGTTCAGAGCGCATGCTCGGAAACGAGCTCACATTAACATGCTGCTAAGACCGGCAATACTGATGGTGTGGAATGCACCATACGAAGTAACTTTTGGAAGCCCGTCGTCAGCACGAGCTCGGCAGTTGCGCACGCAACTAGGGCCGCCAGTAACTATACTCCCCATAGAAGATAACAATCGCCACCGAATGGATACCTTGCATCGGCGTCCCAATCAGCTGCCATTATGGTGGCTTCGCCGCTGAGTGCCTAAATGTCGCACCATCGAATTTACTTCGTTTTCTTTCCTCGGCAAAAACAAGTGGGAATGGCCACCAGCACGGGGCAATGACGTGACGCGCAAGCCACGCATTGTTTCTGGTATCTGAAAAATTTATGGGGTGATGATGATGATACCAAAAGTCATACCACCGGCCACGCGATACGGCGGTCACAGTAAGCTCTTTCTAACCATAACAAATTACGCGATCGGGAAAACCTATTGGGACGTATGACGTAAAAAAACGACCCGTTGGAAGATAACAGATAGATTATCAGAAGAAGCTGTCTTTTAGTAAAACGTCGGTTGGCACTTTGAGGATTTCTGTAGGGTTTTCAAGTCCCGCTGCAGCCACGCTGCGGTTTGAAGCGGATGACATCGTTGCAACGAAAGGATGAACATCAAAGTTAAAGAAAAGACATAAAAAAAAAAGCCTCTTCAAATGGTATCTAACCACGCTCGTGCCTCCGGACAAGCCAGAGGGTGACAACGGGAGAGCAGCCACAAGAAGTTATAAGACTGGGGCGTTCTTGGTGCCTCCCGCTGGTATAGTCCACGGCGTCCACGAAGATGACCAGGTGTCACCGACGTGACGAAGTTTATAAGATAAGAAAAACTCTAACGCTCGCGGGTTCGGATCAGTTGTGACGATGATATCTTTAGACAACCTTATCGAGCCTTTGCACCGGTTCCTCCACACAGCACTAAACCAAAGAATCATACTGTTCATACTGTAGACACGATTGACGGAATGATTTGCGGACACGCCCGAACAATGTTTGCAATTCTTACATGATTGCAACATGGCTCCAGACAGATATTTTGCACGATCCACGTGACGGGTTCTGGTTCCTACGAGGTGCAGTGGGCAAACGCGTGTGCAAGGCGTATAGACGCCTTGCATACGCGCCAGATTACAGCGGCCATTGCGGACCTTCTCTTGTCTTACCGAGATACCGATGCACTGAAACAGGCGTTGACGAGCCTCCACAAAGGTCAATGCTGGGGAGAAGGACATTGTAGAATCTAAAATGGAAATAATTCCTGGCCTGCTATGGTAATAAAATTATGATGAAGCGAAGTAAACAGAATTAGAAGCACCGAAGGTCGGTAATGGCGGCGCCCATGCACAGCTGCTGCAAGGCGTCTGTAGGTGGTGTTGATTTAGAGATCTTACAAAGAGAGAGGGGCGTTCATACCTTCACGGGCATTCACATCTGGACCTCTCGCAGCGGTGCATCTGGCATCCAGATGACCTGTCGCCCCAAAAGGCGTAATCGCGCACACGCACACACACACACACCAGAGTCGCGTGGGGTCACACGTGGGCCAGCGTGACCTGAACCTCGGAATGTCCCGACGGCAGCACGAGCGTCCTGGCGTTCTGTCCGGACACGGACACGATCACCGTGTCCTGGTTGATGACCTGCGACGTGTCCGTCGTCTGCACGATCGTCACCGTGTTCACGTCGTGGTTCTTCCTCAGCAGTTCGCTCCTGCCCACGTTGCAGGGGGGGCTCGGGGTGTCCCGGGTGACCCCCCTGGTGACGTCGTCTTGGGACAGGGTGCTCAGGGTCAGAGACGGGTTCCGGCTGTGCAGGCCGCCGCCGCCGCTTCCCGGGACGCCGTTGCAGGACTCGGTGCACGAGGGAGGGGAGGCCGGACTGACGGTGGCCAGGGTGTCCTGGCTGCAGGACACGTCACCGCCCACGCAGGACCTCAGGATTCCGCCCGCAGAACTCGTCCGGGACCGGTAGCTGGGGGGTCGGCTCTGTTCCCGTTCTGCCGTCGGAAACGTCAGCGGAGGCCTGGAGGGCAAGGACGTGGAGTAATGAGGGACAACTTCAGTTCATGTAGGTATCTCAAATTTATAATTATAGTGCAATTAAATGCAAAGGTGCAAGCGAGCTGGACAAGAATGACAAAAATAATCTCTGGAGAAGGGGAACAAGGGGGACAAAGGACAAATACAGCTAGGTGACTGGCGCGCGACCGAAAAAATCTGCCTGGTCCTCGCGTATCGAACCAGGACCAGGCGGACGCCGACGCAGCTCTTGTGTCCAACAGATGCTCGGTGTATTTGGCACAACAGCCACCAGACAGCGCGCACTTTTGAAAATGGTCTATATATAGGCAACGGACGATAAAAGTATGGTTGAAGTGTCGGGCCACCAGCTACTCGACCTCATGCCATCAAATTCATTGACTTCTAAAGGTGGCTGGCAAGTGACTGGCCCACCGAACACTCGGCTTTTCCAATATTAAATCTCGCTTCATACAGGCTTTTCGTTTCCTTCTGTTATCAGTCACGTGGGTTGGGGTTCCGTATCTGGTATGCGGGACGAAAAAATAATAAGACATTTCAACCTGGAATATGCGAGAAAATATAGGTGAGGCTAAACAAGAATGTGTGACATTTACGTATTTTTCGTGAACACCCTCCAGCGGCGTAGAGCAGAAGTGACGACATTCAAGATGGCAGCGCCGTTGTGGAAAAAGGTGTCTAGTGAAGTCCCACCTCTTCCCACTTTAACAGAGCAGAACGCTGGCGAGGCGGTCGCCTCCTCTCCAGAGTTCGCCCTGCTAAAGTGGAAAGAGGTGGGAGGAGCCTCCACTATTACGTACACTGCTCAGCCTCTACACAAGGCCACCGGTGATCGAAGGTGTCTAGAAAATGTCTGACCACCGATAATAGCTTACTGCTGGGGCCCTATGTTGCGCTTTTTGGACTCCCACGGCGACTAAGGGAGAAGGAAGTCACGTCAACAACGCAGCAAACGCAGATTAGATGTTGATTGGTGAGAATCGGTGATGACGAACATCCGCAGAAGAAAACAAGGAAAAAGTCAGCCTTGTTTTCTTTTGCGGAAATTCGTCATCTGCGACTCTCACCAATCAACATCCAAACCGCGTTTGCTGCGTTATTGACGTCACTTCCTTCTCCCTATACACGTGGGAGTCCAAAAAGCGCAACATAGGGCCCCTGGTCTTTGTTCCACTGACGCCCCCTAACCACCCGACTCCATTCGCGTGATAAGCCAAGAGATCCTAAGCTGAAACCGCTTCCCTAAGTCTGACACCTCCCGAAGTGGGGCAGCCTTATTCAGTAGGTAGGCCGCAAATACCAAGATATGGGACACCTCTGTATACTTTGAACTTCTTAATAGTAAGATATTTCAAGCGCGGACCACGAGTCTTTTAGCCCCCCCCCCCCCCCCCCCCAATTCGGGTAGGTCATAAATAACGAAAGCCGGAACAAATTAGAATCGCAAGTCTTCCGTCGGTAAAAAGGACGCGATCACAGCGCGCGTACAAACATGCAAAAGTCAGTGTTTGCAGACGGTATTTTGTTTGACGCACTGGCAGCGTGACTGCGGCTTTCATCGTCGGCATTCAGCGGCGCCCTCTACGGAACGGCAACGATGTATCGGATCGGGCCACGCCTGAACGAACGAGGTGGAAACGGGGTACGTGGTCGTTTCCCGTCGAGAAGACCGTGCTACTAAATGCGGACGAATTCACCCGAGCAGGGTACCGGGGCGTGTCGACGTCATCGAACACGCCACGGATCGGTCAAGCAGATGACGACGGAAGGGACGATCGTACGGCACTAGTTTCCGGTTGGGATAGACACGGCGGAAACGGAAATGAGGCGAACGTTTCCCTTTTATTTATTTATTTATTTATTTTTTTTTTTTTTTGGGGGGGGGGGGGGGTGAGATAGGGGCAAAGTCTTTAGGACGGAGTCAGTTCGTAAAGGCTTATCAAAAACTTGCGACTGAGCGCGTTAAGGCCCGTTCACACTCTTGCTACCTCTTAAAACTTGGTTCCTTAAAACCTCTTACACCGAGAAGACACACTGGCGCCATCTATTGGGTAGCAGTGGAAACGTGGAGGTCCGGCATAATTTCTATTTCTCTCGCACATTATTTTTTCTTTCTTGGCTCAAAAAGCTTTTGTCAACGTTATAAACGAGCCTTTCTTATAGACCTTTTTCCAGAAGGGCGCCGCCATCTTGAATTGCCGTCACATCAGTACAGGCGAAAACGTTGTTTTGGCGTCGCGACGCCAATAGAAGACATTTAGGATATAAGCGTATCCGTCACACATTCTCGTTTTGGCTCCCCTCTATTTTTTTACTGGTTACAGGTTGAAATGTTTTGCTATTTTTTCGTCGCCCATACCGGATACGCCCATTTGGTGGCTGGGGACGAGAGTGCACGATAAAGGTTTATAGGTTCTACGCACATTTGACCTCGAAAATCCCGCGAAACCTTCGCTCCTGTGAAATGCAGTTCCAGGGTCACCACATAGATGGCGCCAGCGTGTTCTCTCGCCCTAAGAAATTTTAAGAGTTTTCAACAAGTCTCGTCGGTCGTACTCGGTCGCAAGAGTGTAAACGGGCCTTTACGACCTTTTGTGATCTCTTACGGCCAAGCGAAACACTGGAGCCATTTACCAGGTAGCTGTGGGACACTTTTTCGCGCGTCATTCATATACTTTGGGTTCGAACAACTCTTGGCAATGCTATAAAGGACAATTTATCATAGACAGCCCATACATTTAATCTCGCAAATACTGTAATACCTTCGCTCTAGTAAAATACAGTTCCTGGGTCACATCATAGATGGCGCCAACGTAGCAGTGTGTTAGATTGAGAAATATCACGAGAGGTCGTAATGCACTTGGTCGTAAGCAGTCGCCAATGTGTAAACGAGCATCTGCTCTTCAGCTCGAAGAACGAATTAATTATTTTGCTTGGTGTATACAAATGCGCCATCGCAAAAACCATTAGAGTAAAGAGACTTTGCAAAACTAATCAGAAGCAACAAAAGTTAATAACAAGTTACACATTATAACGACAATGGAAGTTATGGGTTCCTCATACGTTATTTCTGCTTGTCACAGACGTAATTAGGTTTAAGGTGAAAGAAAAGGAAAATTTGATTACGGAGAGTTTACTGTATCACGTATGATTACAATATTGAAGATACCTTTGAAAAGAGCATTTCAATATGAGAAAACGGGGCCAGCGGTGCTCCCGAATACATAGAACAACGAATAGTCTCGTGCTCTACGTAGTGCACTGGAGCAACGGTTGCTTCTATGCACCATTAACCATGGCTAAGTTTCGAATCTCCTTAAATCGATAACATGACAGCACAGACAGAGCAACGCTGTGGAGCGAAAAGGGTTTTCGAAGTCAAAAGTAAAAGACGGCGAGAATGAAAATCATCGAATGACTAATCACAATTAGGCGAGCTGCGCTCAAACGTTAAGTGCAATTAAGTAGGTTGCTAATGAGCCAGGACTGATCAGTGATGAGGAGCTGTTGTGCGCGGTATTCTGAAGACCGTCTAACGACGAAAAAAAAAACGCACCTTCCCCACCTCTTCCGTCGCCATTGGACGCTATATCTCGCTCGTTTCTTGACCGCGAGTGCCGCAAGTTACAAATACAGTCGCCAGAGTAAAGTAAAACGCTGCTCCAGAGGCACATAGGGCTTCACGCATATTGCACTCGCAAAGAACATCTACACGGTGTCGATTCTTGTTCGGTATCCAGGGTGCGAAGGCAGAGAGACGCAGCACTTCGGCGTGCCAAGGAAGCTTTGAACACCCCACGAGACCGGGGAAACTTGCTTTCGACGAGTTGCGCCTTTTCTTCTGCGACACTGCGCGTTCGTAAAAATTTCCACGTGTTCGCAACGGCAAGTCTCACGGCTTACACGGGGTTTTAAAGAACTTCTTCGGCGAATGACGACGAGCGAGCAGAAAACGTGTCTTCAGCACGCTGCCTCCAGCCTCTGCAACGCTAGCAAAAACGCGATTTCGCTACATGCAAGATGGACGTCCGGTGGCCGCACTTGCGCTGCAGCGACCAAGCGGGGATGCGGGATCAGAGCAGAGGGTGTACGGACGGGTAGAAGCTTACTGGAAATAGTTTCATTCCCGAAGATCACCTACAACAATGTACTAGACTGGTCAAGAACGCTGTAAATATAGTACTATTATGGTACACTACTATCGCCCTACTCTAGCGGGGCGCCCCCTATGGGCCGCGAAACCGTCCACTTCCTGTTAGTAAGGGTCGCTTGGCGTGGCGTTCCCCCGGTGGTATACTTTCGAGACATGGTCGGCGTACCTCGAGAACGCTCGCGTACAAAGCAACGCAAACGGAGAAAATGGGCGCATGGCTGATCCTCGCCGCTGATACGAAAGTCAGGACACGAACACGAAGCTCGTTGTACGCCACTCCGTTGGAGCCCGAAGCTGACAGTGCGTCGGGAGCCGAGCGCTCGGAAGGGCAAATAACCGCCTCGCTTTCATCTGGCGTTCCCTTACACACACACACACACAAAAAAAAAAAAAAGAAGTAACGAGTTTCAATTGAAAGTAATTTAATTGCATAGAAACTCAATTGAAACCCATTGATCCTTTTTGTAAGGGATTGCGCCCGTTATCGAACAAGAACGCGCTAATAGGGAGTTTTCGTAGACCGCGTTTCCCCCTCCGCAAAGCCCTCAGCAACGAAGAAGCCTCTACTGCGCATGCGCGCCCATGGCTTTGACTGTAGAGTTCGGGGTATCGTAGCGGGTTGCGGAGAGCATTGCGGGACGGCAAAAACGATCTACGAAAACTCCCTATTGAGATTGGTTATCGTCCTTCCAACGTAGCGAAATCCCGTTACCGTTATTTCCAGGATCTATGACGAACGTCACCGGTGCGTTACTTTCGATTTCAATATTATTTGGCGGCGATAAGCCGTGGATACGGACTTCTACAAATATTTGTAGAATATAAAATTT